TGGCCATTGGACATGGTGTCCAGAGCGTGGGAAGGTAACTTGCCACGTGTTGGCAGAAACTGCCAACACATGGCAGATTGATGGCATCAAGAGCGCATCAAGTTCAACAGTTTCTGTTGCGAAGATGAGATGTTAGGCGTCACCACTCCTTGAAGCGCTCTGTCCATGAGGTGCCAGTACGGCGAGACCTCCTCGCGTAACGTGTTCATCATTGTACGACCGGCGGAGCCCTTTTCCGAGAACCTGAAGCGCCGCGCCGCATCTGCGACAAGGTTCACCAGCTCGACCTCAGGCAGCACATCGTCTTCGTAAGCAGAGGTAGGGCCATGGGAGAGATCCAGACGACTCTCGAGTCCTAGCCACATCGCCGGGAGGACGAAGTCACGCATCATGTGCTCTTCTGTGATGAGTAGACTTGTGGTCCGATGTTGTGATCGGCCGGGCACGACTATGATTTGCCTGTGAGCGTAAACTCAACATCGGCATTCGGCGCAAAGACGGAAATAACGAGGTACTGACAGCAGGAAGTCGCAACAGAGGCGCGCCTGGGCCATATCCCACGCTCCTCGCATCTGCTGCAGACGAGTTGCGTCTAGATAAGCATGTGCGGTGCCAGATTCCACAATCTTGTAGCTCAAAGGCGGGTGCACGGCATAGCGATGTGCGTTGAACATGATGAAAGCGAGATCTTCGGAAGAGAACGAGGTGTTCCCCATTGAGTCTTTCAGGCGTGAAAAGATAGCGTCCTCGCCAAAGAGTTTCACGGCTTGAGCGATCATTGCCGTTGTTCGCTCTATGCGTTCTGGGCCCTCGAGCGTATCAGACGCCGGGTTCGTGCCAACACAGTCTAGGATCTGCATGCAATCTATCATTTGCTTAGGGTTCTCGACGGCATTATTTGGCTGCTTTGTCCACAAGAACATCGTCAACCAGAAGATGTCTGATGTGCCCCATGCGGGTAAGCATTTGCTGCGCCAGTAGGTCAGCTCAACATTCCAGCTCAATTAATCCTATAACACTCACAATGTATTGGCAAGATGAACCCAGTTGTGCAAAAGGCTGTTCAGATACCAGCGCATGGGATCCAAAGTCGCCAAAATAATTCGCGATGCCCAAAGGTTGCTCCAGACCGATTCCATACACTTGGCCAGCTCATCAGAGCGGGATCGATAGATCAGTCCATAGGAATGAAAATGCCCCATGGAATTATCCAGAATGGAGACGGCATCCACCGCGATCATCTGAAGTACGGACTGGGTAAGTACGATGTTCTCATTCAGTGCTTTATCTCACTTACGAGATGTCCTTCAAGGACCTTGTCGCGAGCAAGATAGGCACTACACAGCTCGAATGCTCCCCATAGTACTGCATTACGGTTGTTGGCTGATAGCTTCCGTAGTTGATTTGTACCAGCAAGGGTTGTACATTTCTTCATCTCGTCCAGAGCGAAGCGTAGTTCTGCGTTGAACTGCGTATCTTCACTACGACTCATGGCAGATCGTGCAAGATCAAGAAGACGAAGGGGATTCTCTGATGTGGCACCGACGCCGCGAGCCGTTTCGGACGCGACCTTGAGGAGATGTAGGTTCTCCTTCGTATCTCTGAAGATCATGCCTGGCCGAGAGTTACGACCTGAGGCATCCTCTGAGACTACAAGCGGTCGATCAGGAACCACAGGCTCCTTGTTATTGGTATATATTGCTGGCTGAGACATTGATTGGACGGGTGCGTGGCAGACAGCGACGGCGCCACTGATGATGGTTTGAGATCAGTCGCAGAATGGCATGCGGCGTGTCAACGCGTCATGCGTCATGCGTCACTCACAGACGCCCACGCTCTTTCATTCCATCACATCTAGAGAACAGTCTTCCATATACAGCCTGTATGACCAATCTTCACACCGAACCAACAACCGCAGCAACGATGCGACTGCGATGCGTTGTCAAATACGCGTACAAGTAGGGCGGCTCCCGCGTTTGCCGGCCGGGTGACGCGGCGAGCTTAGCCACTGAGCGTTGAAACGTTGACCGAGCGCTTTATTTCCTTCGCTACAACCACCGGTTTCAGACAGCTTTAAAAGTTACAAAGCGAACTGACCAGACAATCACTCCAACCAACTCGCCCCTTGTCTTTCAATAACGTCAGCTTCATAATGTCCGCGAACGCCATCTCCATTCCGGAAGGGTACGTCCCCCTCAGCGTCGCGCGCAGTGCACACGCGCTGACATGTCTTAGATTTTCCTACGTCGCAGCGTCACTCATCTCCGTGCCACTTGTCTTGCAATGGCAAGCCATATACGTCAGTCTGGCGCGTACAGCCGCCAAGGTTGAATACCCTCGAGGTGCGTGCTCGCAACCGCGGATGGCGCGACTGGCCAGCTAACCGGACGCCGCAGCCTACGCGGAGAAAGCCGAGCAGGAGGCGTCGGTCGCGGCCAAGGTCTTCAATTGCAGGCAGCGTACGTACCAGGCCCTCTCGTGCTTTGTGAAGAGTAGCTGACAGTACTGTAACAAGGCGCTCATGCGAACACTCTTGAGAATGCGCCCGGTATCGTCATAACGTGGGTTCAGCTAGCCAAATATGATTGGACGTGCTATAGGCATACTCATATTGTGCAATGGCAGGGGCCTCTTGACCGGATTGCGTTACCCGATGCTCGCTGCAGGCGCTCTTGCCCTGTGGTCTTTCGCGAGGGTCATCTATGCTGTCAACTATGGCACAGGCGACCCCAAGAAACGCGCCACGGGCTTTCGAATTGGAGCTCTGGCTGGTCTGGGTGCGTGATTCTTGTGATGCGTATTCGGCATCCTCGCTGATTGTATGTGACCTATGCAGCTTTGCTTGGCGGAGCTATCAAAGCCACGTACGACTTCTACGCAGCTGGCCTGTGATTCATTCCCTTGTCACGCCTGTTCTTGCTTTGCTATCGAGTCTTACGAGGACATGTGACAATACAATGTTGCAGTACTGTGAGTACGCTATATATCAAGTTTATCACCGGGCCGTGCACCCGAACGCACACCCCACTCGCACGAGTTCGCGTCGTATGTTGCCCCCACCTGCGGTCTGGCGCCTCCTGTCAATGAAGACAACTCGTTGTTCTCACATCACTAAGGACAGTCAAGGAGTGGTACATCGCGCCAACGTCAGCGTCCTCTGAGCTCGCACTCGTGCGACAGTAAGGCTACAGCCTCGTGGAAGCGGGGCTGAATGTGAACATCGAATGCCTTCGGCCGGCTGAAGGTCCGCGATTCAGCAAGTTGACAGCGACGAAGCAACAGTGGCTCACGTACATGGTGAGACCGTCGTCATCAGAGGCGCCGACATCAAGCGCTTGCCCATCAGGATTGACCAGTGAGAAAGCCCACAAGCATGTGGCGATGTCTATGAAGAGACTGTTGTTCGCGACCGCTTTCCCGACGCAAGCTCTGGCGAGATGGAGTTGTGGTAAGAATATGCCGATGTCAGGATGAAGACTCTTTATCACTGACCTCCTTCCAAAGCCTACAACTCGTCAGTGAGATGTACTCTAGTGGAGCTTGACCATGAGCACCCACCAAAAGCGAAGTGCCCCTCTTCCTTCGAGCCTATCGGACCGGGAAGAAGCTCGCCTTGATCGTCAAGGTGACGAGCCGGATTGAAGTCGTCCACATCGGGGCCGTAGATGGCGGGATCATGGTTCATCTCCCAGGTGTTCGCGATGACGATAGTTCCCTTGGGGAGGAAGTATCCTTCGTAGTAGTCGTTTTGTATACTGCGATGCGGACTGAGAGCCCTATTTCAGCTGCCTCCGTCTACAGGAAGACGGAATGGATTCAAGACGTACACTGCAAGCGGAATCACGGGCGCCCAACGAATGGATTCCTTGACCATCGCGCGGATGTAGGGAAGATGAGGCATATCAGCGAAGGTTGGCACCCGTGCGCGACCGACAACAGCATCCAACTCCTCTTGGGCGCGCCTCTGCGTGTCCGGGTACATTAGCATGGCGAGAGACCAAAATAGCATGACCGAGAACACTGGATCTGTGGCCGCCGCACTCGAGCGCTTGTCAGGGTCACAGCATCGTGGAATCAAAGGAAGTTGGGCGCACTACAAGCTCGCCGCTAGCCACGAGCTTTCATGCTCGCTGAGACCATGGCGATCAGTCTCATGCAGTAGAGTTGCACTCATAGATGGCCCTTCTACGCCGCTCATCTGTATGAGAGTTTAGTCTTCTACCTGTCTACATAGACGAGCAGAGGAACGCACCACTTTCTCGCGTACACATTGGAAGACGGCATTGAAGGTGTTACTATCCTCCTTGTATTGTCTCTCTGCTTTGGCCTTCCATGGAGCAATGCGGCTCGGAAGGTAGCGCATCCAAGGGAAGATCTCGACCTTCGCTCCGTTATTGATCTGCACGACGACTCATCAGAAGAGCACGTACCCAATGAGCACCGGGGGCTGCAGCAGTAGTCATCCGCGCAGCAAATGCATTGATGAAGCTGATACGAGCGTCCTGTTCGCTAACGACCTGCAAGGCGGGCTGAGCAGTGTGCCTCTCTTCTGGACATCAGAGAGAATGCTCACAGGTTGATCATAGACGCAAGAGAGCGTCATACTCGCTGCTGAGCGTCGAATGTACTTATCCCACAACACCGGGTTCTGCAGCGCGGAACGGGCCAAGAGAAGAGCTTCCGTAGCTTGGTACTCGTGCAGCTTTTGCACGGGATACAAGCTCTCATGTGCCGCCTTGCGCATACGGTGCCATCTGGACACAATGTATCAGAGCCCGTTTCATGTAGACGAGGTAGTCACGAACGCATCGTTCCACGGCATGAACGGGAGGAACAACCCTCTAGTCAAGATGTCCGACGCGACGATCCATCGAGGCCTATCCGAGTAGATGCTCGCGCGGTAGTCGAGCAACTCGGACGCCACCTTCGGGCTGCTTAGAACAACGACAGGCTGCCCAGCTGCATTGAGAGAGAAGATGTCTCCTACGGGAACCATCATGAGTCAGAGCAACCAGTCAATGTGAGCATCCGACGTACCATACTGCTCCTCGCGCCATGCGCTAAACCGAAGCCATTGTTTGTGCGTATCTGCCAGTTGGAGCGCGTTGCCGATGATAGGCAGGCCTTGCGGTCCGGGAGGAAGTTTTCGCCACGGACTCGTGAAGTACCGCACGACGGCCAAAGACAAGATGCCGATCACCACGAGCAGTACGAGCGCGCTGTTGGCTTGCACGCTGGCGAACACGAGCTGTCGGCGAAAGACGTCCGTGATATCGGCGTCGAAATAGGAGTGTTCGGTGTTCATCTTGACAGATCGCGAAAGCCTGTGATGACTTATAATTGTTGTCCCAGGATGCAATACTCCAGCTCTTTATATGTCCTGTAGCAGGCGCCAAAGAGATAAGAAGCATGATCAGGTGTCGCAGCTCCTTACCAAGATCCACCGTCTGTATAGACATAACTCAATGCTGACACCCAGTTTCAAAGAGTCGTGAGAGCTCTGAGGTCGTTGAGGTTCTATGTAGCGTTTCTTGTGTACACCCTATCATAAGGCGCTAGACGCAAGTCGCAAAAGGGAACGCTCTGTCCAAAGCAGTCGACAGCCCATCCGTCATGCGGTTGGCCGTGCCAAAGCGTCAAACGTCTACTCTGACAGAGAAGCATGATGGAAGGTTGCTGTGCAGAAGGGGAGAAGCTCTCCGAGCGTGCAGGCGGCGGTCATGGGTATAGTCTTCGTTAACATGTTCGAAGATGAAAGCAGAGTGCAAGCCCGGGTCACATTCCCTCAGCCGCGTCCAGCTTGCGCCAAGCGCGCACACGCTTCGCGACGCGACTCTATGAAGGACGTTCAAAGCAGCTCTACCATCAAGTCTACCATCGTGAACGAGCATTTTAGCAATGTCATTATCTCAAGGGCGTGAGCAAAAATTTGGAATGCAACCATGCTAAGCTGCTACCAGGGTTCGAACCTGGGTTACGGGAAGATTACCAACGCTCTCGAGCGCTTTCAAAACCCCGAGTGATAACCACTACACTATAGCAGCGTGCCGTACTCAAACCTTTGACACAACATAATTCACTCATCACCTCAAGGGCCTGTACTCGGACAGTTAGTAGGCCTGAAAAACTCCAGCCAGGGCTACACCAGGTCGGCCATCAAGTACAGTATATAATAGGGGCTACTTCTCATGTACAGGTGTTGCCCGCATGCTTCCTGTACGCCACGGGAGAATTAACCCGTCCTGCACTGTCAGTTTTGTAGCGTAGCCTCGACACAACAGTCAGAGATTTTCACGCAGTTCACACCGCAGAAGCAATTATAGCAAATACCATAAACTAATATCCTATTCAACTTCATTCTTCCTACTTCAACCAACAAAACGCCCGTCCAACGGGCCAGGGCACATTGGACTTCAGAGTGTTCAGATGTAGATGCAATACGGGGCACAAGTACGAGGCGACAGTGGGGACAAGGGTACGTAAGTAAAGAGATATGGTACAACCCGCGACTTAAAAGCGAGCACTATTCGGTTCGAGATTCGATGGGGCTTCTGGGGAAGAAGACAGGAGAAGGCGTGAGTCTGGGCAGTCGACTCGATGCAGGCAGTTGAGATGCTGAGTGAACTTGAGGGAGTTGGGGTTTGGTAGGTAGGGAGAGTTATGGCACTAGCCCGATCGACGCGCTGACGCGTCGACCGGGACGAAGGCGGGAGGCATAGATAGTAGGTAGGGAGGGTACTGAAAATTGGTAGGCAGAGGGGGACGGGAGATTGATGCGCATGAGATCGGCGAAAACCAGGGGGATGATAGGGCACACAAAACATAACCTTCACGGTCCAACAACAGAACGAAACGAGCACAGATCACCACCATCAGCGCCGCGAGGCGGGTCGCGATCTACTTCTTGCCCAAGCTGAGCGCGCCGAACGCCCCGCTGAGAGCGTCGAACGCGTTCTCGCGCTCGCCCGAGCTGAGACCCGTCGCCATCCGCGGCATACTGGGCGGCTTGGGGCTGGACGCGGTGGCCATACGGGGCGATGCCGCAGGCGGGGTGCGCGGTGCGGGCTCGTCGACGTCCACGACGCGCACGACGGCGCTGCCCTCGAGCACGCGGCGGACCTTGTCCGAGTCGACGCTCTTGTTGGCGCCGGCGCCGCCCGCAAAAGCGTCCCAGAACGCGGAGCCGAGGCGACCCATGAGCGTCTGGCCAGCCATGGCGGCGAGGACGGCCTGTTCTTGTTGACTTGCGGAAGGGCCGGCTGCGGCTGTCTTGCGCTCCGAAGCGCGGGGAGAAGCCGGCGGGCTGGGGTACGCCGCGGCGGCAGAAGACGGTGAAGGTGCGGAAGCGGCGTGCTTGCCGGAGAGAAGACTGGACAGCGCGGGCGAGCGCGCCGAGCTGAAGAAGGCCGGGCGCAGGTTCGCCGCGAGCCCATTGACAGCGGGCGAATCCTTGTTCTGGTTCTGCGCCGCGACATTCGCCATGTGTTGCTGCATCTGTTGCTGTTGGCGCGTCTGCTGTGCCATACGGGTCCAGAGCTGCATGCGATACCTACAAACCCCAAGTGTTGGTCACCATACCCTAGTCACAAAAGAGATGAAAAGACGTACGCGTCGAGCATCTTCATCGTGAACGGGTTCTGGTCCGCGAACGCGTCAAAGCGTCCACCTACCGCGCCCATACCGTTGTTGGCGGTAGCGGGCGAAGGCGCATTCAGCGCGGGGTTCATGTTCTCCTGCAAGCGACCCTTCGGGTTCGCGTTGGCAAGAGGACGTGCGAAGCTCTCAGGGATGAGAGTCGTGTGTACCGAGGTGACGCCACCCCCGAACATGCCGTTGTGGCCGGCCCAGAAGGCCTTGTTGGCGCCGGCAGACGGGCTGGCGGGGACGTCCTTGTGCATGTTGGGCGTGAGAAGCTGCTTGTTGGCCGCCGGGGCCGGTGATGCGGACGGGAGCGGGCCGGGCGGCGGCAGGATAAGCGCGTCGGGCGTGGTGAGGAGCGCCTTTTTGAGGGCGTCTATTTCCTGTCTGAGCGCGGCATTCTCCGATTTGGTGCTGCCGAGTTCGGTGCGGATGGCGTCAATCAGGCGGTCGCGTTCTGCGATGTCGCCCTCGAGCGTGGTGATGTACTCTATAACAACAGATAATCAGCGATCAATTCGACCAATAAAAGAAACAAAGGAGATTCAGTGATACCCACCCTTGCGGCGCACGCGGAAATTGCGCGCGGAGATCTTGTTCCGAAGCTGGCGCTTCTCCTTTGAGCTCATCTTCTTGTACTCCTCGGGGCTCGGACGCCAGTCGTCGGCCTCGTCATCGTCGTCGATCGGGTCCTTGGACCGCACTACGGCCGACACGGCGGGCTTCTTGACGATCCCGCCAGACTGGACGGTACCGCGGCGAGCCTTGCCCTTGCCGCCGGCTTTGAGCGGCGCGACATCGGTGCCGGCGGGAGAAGCGGGGGACGTCGCAGAGTCGTCCGCGTGCGAGCGCTCGTCGTCGCCGTCATGCTGCATCTCCTCGGGCGACGAGTGCTTGTCCGAACCACCTGACCCCGAACTGGCCTCGGGGGATGCCGCGGGGGTGTGCACGAGCTGGGGGTCGATGGCGAACTGGGCGGGTGCGACGGTGTTGAATGCGGCGAGGAAGTCAAAGGGCGCGCTCGTCGTCGGGGGCGGCACGAGCGGGTCCTGCTTCGTGTAGTCGAATGGCTGGGAAAAAGAGAAAAAGTCGGGCTGGACGAGGCCAAAGGGGTCGTTCTCCGAGCTGAACGGCTGGGGCGGCGTGTGGAGCGGGTCCGAGGGGGCGGGGGAGCGGGATGAAGCACGCGAGCCGGACGACGGTGGCGAGGTCGAGCTTCCCGACGGGCCGGCGTGCGAGAACAGATCGAGGTTCAGAAAATCGGCAATATCATTCTCTGACGGGTTGCAGAACGGCGAGGGCGAGTAAGCAGAGTCGACTTGCATCGTTGGTGGTGGTGGTGAGGCAAACAACGCTGCCGTGCGCAACCACCAAAGTCGTACGCGGCGCGGCACCTCGGCACTTCCCGCTTATCAATCCACTATGACACCCTTCCAGTCCTTTCCATAGTCCAAAAAGACCCAACCCTTCCCAACCGTACATCCTTTTACTTGCAATATACAGTTGATTTGCTAGCGTACATCGCACAGCGTATCCTTGCCAGCCGTCAGTTGCATTCCTATCCCTCGCCGCCAACGCGACAACCGCGAGTCCAGACCTCCTTCACCATCTCCGACGCCATTTTTGACGTCGTCTCGTGGCTGCGGCTCCTCCCTCGCCTCCGCCGCCGACTCCTCCCGAGATGGCCATGCTTACCCCAATCGACCTCTATCTTCCCTTCGGGTTCGAACACCATCACACCGCCACCTGCCCTGCAACAACAAAGGGCCATCGATCCTTCGTGATCATGAAATTCTGCCGTACCCTCCGCCTCCCCGCTCACGCAAGGCGCTCCGTCTTCTCGTCCTCCCCGCCTTTCTAGTCTTCCTCCTTCTCAGCCGGCCGTAGACCTCGAGCACGGTACCATACTTCCTAGTCGCACCTTCTCGGTCTGTATGCACGCTACCGGAGCCGCACTCGCTCTTGTCTCGACGTGACTCGCCGCCCAATGTGGGTTCCTCTTGGGCGCCTCGCCCGCTGCGCAGATCCAACCGAGTATGGCTCGCAGTCCTTTCGCGCCCACAAAGCTTCCGTACTGCGCCCTTCGTCTACTGCACAGCTTGATCCTCGTCGTTCTTGCATCTTTCACAACGATGACTCGCTGAACGACGTGGATCGCTCTCGTTCGTAGACAACGACGTGTTCGACACCTACACTCCCAGCGCTTGCGCCCAGGATCTCGTGCACTCGCACCAGACTGCAAGCGCACCCCGAACCAAGATCTTCTATCTCATCTGTGGGCGCAGCACGCCCGACAATTCATCGATGACCTCAGCCACGAAGATCTGAACGTGCCGAACACGCATCTGTGGCCCGTTCAAACGCCCGAGCCTCCGCGTCTGTTCTCGACGCGCCCTCTGGAACGAGCGGTCAAGTCAGGAGTAGCGCATCGATGAAAATCTTCAAGATCTTTATGAACGTGTAGAACACGTACGCCGTGCCCCTTCATCTCAAGTGATTCTCGACGTCTAAGCAGAAGGAACGGGCGCCATTTGGAGACCTCTCCCGTCGTGTCTGGGGTCATCCACTGGGCGTTCAGCCAGCCTTCGCCGTACAGTTCACCCGGTCGTTCGAGCCATCGATTCTCGCATGCGGAGTGAGGCTAGCCAGTAGCTCCCCACAGCAATCGACGTCGAACAGGACATCAACGCATATTCGTGGACAAACTTGTACAAGCCTCCCTCGCACAGTTTGTTGGGCTCAACTGTACGAGATTTGTCACGTACCTATCACGATGTACTATCCATACGCCTTCAAACCCGTTATAAATGCGTTCTAGGGGGCCCCCCAAGTCAACCTCCTGTGCACTGGATATAATCAGCAATAAGTATGAGCGCTATGCCGCACGCGCGTGTCGCTTCATCGCTTTGTATAGCTGTCATACGTAGCATGCTCTCCTTGGGCCCCTATTTCTTTCACTGACACTACATAGTGTAAACTGCGAAGCATTCTAGTACTTTCACGAGGCAAGAAAAAGATACCTCTCATAAAGGCCATTGATTCCAGCCGGGATCGAACCGGCGATCGCCTGTGTGTAAGACAGGAGTCATAACCACTAGACCATGGAATCTTGTTAGGCTCTATATCTAATATTTAGATGTCGTCTGCTAATGGCTGACTCCTGAGAGACCTGCTCTCTCACTCTGCCTGTAGAAGTCCCCTCTCATGGTTCGCCGGGCGTACCGTCTAATAACATCGTGCCAGCCACCGCTTTAACAAGTAGCTGATGCATCTACAGTAAACGCTTAAGTACATCAATATTCGAGAATCAGGCTCCGAGATGTACGAAAGGAGCCCATTTCGCCAAGTCCGTCTCGCCGACCACCTCTCTCAATCCCTTCACCGCTTCGTGAAGCGCATACGCCGCGCCCGTATTCCCACCACTGATGGCTCCTGGGCCACGAAGCTCGAGCAATCGGGAATAGTATGCCCCCACGACTATCGGAGCTTCGTCATCTCCAATCGACCACATCGTCGCAATGACGCCCTTGAACCCGACAGCGAGCATGCCCGCAGCTAGGTGTGCGGACTCCTCGAGGTTATCATCGTCGCCCGTGGCGGTTTGACACGCCGAGAGGAATGCAAGCTCGACGTGATCCGCCTCCGTGCGCATGAGAGTCGATAGTGATAGCGGGCCATCGAACAACGCGAAGGCGCTCTTCGTCGGATCATCTTGATCCTGGGACCCGTGGCAAGCAAGATGGACCCAGGAGTGACTATTGATTGCACTCTTGACGGCAGAAACCGTAGCTTGGTCATGATCAAGCAGGGTGTTCGAAACCTGTCTGCGTCCTAGAACCTCGAGCAGACGACGGCTCTCCGCTCTGGTTCCCGGAAGCGGAGCAAATCGTGCCGTGCTGGGTTGTGTGACAATCAGAACGCTAGGATCACGACGCTCCCTCTTCTGAATGTCTGATTTGCAGCGCATATATGCGGAGAGGGATGGTGTGTAAGATGATACGATGATGTCGAAAGCGCGAGGACCCGAGGGCTTGTCGTATACTCCAGCGGCATGGAGGGGCAACTGCGTGAGTGGCCCTGTGGGACACCAGATGATACGGGGCAGGGTTCCGATGGTCTATTACATAGGAAGTGAGGATCATACAGCATATAGTAAGGTTCGTGAATCTTACCGTAACCGAGAGGTCGATGGATTTCAGAATAGGTTCAACGATCCAATGCCACATGAGCTCCGCCAAACGCATGAATGGGTTGGATTTCTGGTATTCTACCATGTCCTGCGCCACAGATCCACGCTCGCGCATGGCTTTCTTCTCAAGACTGGCGGTACATAGTGTCCGTAACTTCTGTGCGCGCTCCAGGGAAAGTGCAGGAAGCGGAACAAGGATCAGCCCACCGCCTGCTAAAAGGATGAGAGCATCGCAGCGGGTTGAGTGTACGTTGATGAACACGAAGGGATTGGCGATAGAGGCAGGATCTGCTAGGAGAGCGGAGAGCTTCTTCGGGCGCAAGAAGTCTTCGAAGCCCGGGCAAGCGCGAACCTCCGTGAGAAGTCGCTCATACTCGACGGCAAGAGCGCGATGGCGGTCCCCATCCGTATTGGAGGCAAGGTACGAGAAGCCGTCGAGTCCACCCTTTGCCACCGGGGAGACATGCGTAGGTACATCGGAGACAAAGCCCGACTGCTGCAACTCTTGCTGTATGGCACGCAAAGATTGCGCAAGGTCGGGATAGCTCTTTTCAACCTCTTCGAGAGGTGCACGCAGTGACATGATCTGGGACCACACAAGCGAACGTCCTGCCTCGAGCCATTCTACGGCCTTTGATAGCGCTCCGGCTTCTATGGCAGCGGCGACAGCGGCGCTTGCGAGGCCACCTAGCCGTGCCGACTCTTCGTAGCGCCGACTGACGTCATGGCCAAGCCATACGATACCAGGAAGGGTATCGAGGACGCAGGAGTGTGCCTCCAAAATGGCGTCCACGCGGCTGAAGTCCGGGTGTTCAGCGAACATTCCCACGCACTTGTTCGCAGCAGATACTCGATGGTAGGGGTTCCCTAGAGGCTGCCTCGTCGCGGCGAGCAAGCAGTCAATAGCGGCGTTGAAGCTGTCTCGATCTTTGTCTCGGCCGAACATGAGCTCGAGAGAACAACCGAGGTTGAAGAGTATCTCGAGCTTGTCGCGGTGGCCATCCGGGATCAACTGGACGGCCAGACGAGCAGTCGAGATGGCAGCCTCGAGATCTGACAGCTCTCCGGCATGAGCAAACCGTCTTTGCAATGAGTTGCCGAGGTTGTTCAGCCGATGAGGTTTATCGGGGTGATCGTCGGGTGTTAGCTCGACCGCCTGCCGCTTGACAGTTATCACTTTATCGAGATCTTCAAGGTCGCCAGTATTCTCGTAGAGGGCTTGGAGTGTGATCCCGAAACTGTTCAGGCGGAGTGACATGTCAGGATGACCATCAGGCGTCAATTTGACCGCCTGGGCCCGGGCGGAGATGGCGCTACTGAGCATCTCAGACTCGCCGGTGCGCTCGAAGCGGGATAGTAACGCGCCACCGAGGCTGTTCAGGAAGCTAGGTTTGAGCGGTCGGGCATCCGGTGTTGCCTCTACAGCTCGAAGGTGCGCTGAAATGGCTCTATCAAGATCATCCATGTCGCCGAGCCGTTCGAAGCGACACTGTAGGGAGTTTCCGAAGCTGTGGAGTAATGATGGTTTCCCAGGAAGCTCGCCGACCAATAGCTGTAGCGCCTCCTGCTTGGCTGCAATAGCCTTATTCAAGTCGTCCATGTCCCCTAAGCGATCGTAACGACTTTGTAAAGTGACTCCAAGATTGTGGAACCGTCCTGGCTTGGCGGGTGATCCATTCGGGGTGAGTTCCAAGGACCGGTGGTGCGTTGCGACAGCATCGTTTAGGTCGTTAAGTCCATCCAAGCGGTTGAAGCGTGTCTGGAAGCCTATTGCAAGATTATTCAGCTGCCCTGGCTTGTCTGCGTCGTCGTCAGGCGTGAGATCGGCGGCACTGCGCAGAGCTGTGACGGCGGCGTCAATGTCCTCAATGGCGCCGAAACGTTTGAAGCGCTTCTGCAGGGCATTACCCAGGTTAGAGAGCCGGTTGGGTTTATCGACATGACCGTCTGGAGAAAGTTCCACCGCGTGCTGGAGGGCCGAGATGGCGGCCTCGAGGTCGCTCGGCTCGCCGGCATGCTCAAAGCGAGCCATCAGGGCTGCACCGAGCGAGTTGAAGTATGCGGGCTTCTTGGGGTGGTCATCCGGTACCAGGTCTGTAGCAGAACGGGCCGTGGAGATTGAGTCCTCGAGATCGTCCAGTGCACCGGTGCGACCGAAGCGTCTCAGGAGACATGCGGAGAGGTCCTTCAGATACGCGGCTTTATCAGGGTCACCGTCCGGCGTGATCTCGAGGGCACCCTTAGCAGCTGCGATGGCACCATCAATGTCGGTCAAGTCACCAACCAGCTCATACCGAGCTACTAGAGACGTGCAAAGATTGTTGAGGAATGTTGCTCGATAGGGGCTGGTTCTCGGCACAACTTCAGTTGCACGCCGATGCGTTGAAATAGACGCCTCAAGATCACGAAGATCGGCGACGCGTTCAAAGCGGCTATATAGCGCTATGCCGAGGTTGTTGAGATGGCTCGCTTGCTCGGGATGGCCTTTCCATGTTAGGTCAACGGCACGTCGGTGAACAGAGATGGCCTCGTCAAGTGTGTCAAGTGCGCCATTATGCTCGAACAGCTTCGTTAAGGAAGATCCCAAGTTTGTGAGCTGTCCGGCTCGGAGAGTGGGGGCTGGGGTAAGCTCGATCCCTCGACGATGGGCAGCGATGGAATTCTCGAGATCATCGAGCTCTCCAAGCTGCTGAAAACGGTACTGCAAACACGCGCCAAGGTTGCTGAGCCGTCCCGGCTTATCGGGATGGTGGTCGGCAGTAAGGTCGACAGCGCGCGCGAGTGCTATAATCGCTAGCTCGAGGTGGGGAAGTTTCCCCAAACGGACATGGAGAGTCAACAACATGCCGCCGAAGTCACTGAGATGTTCTCCGTTGGTAGATTCTACGCCAGCCCCTACCAGTTCGTGCATGACCTTGACAGCTTTCACAAGGTACTCCAACTTTCCCGTCGTGCTGTAGGATCTATACATCTCAACGGCGAGGCGATGCTGCGTGTCGTTCGAGTCGACCACAGTAGTCTGTCCCGCGGCGCTCTCGGCATTGGCCACCTCATGATCCTGCTCATTCTCTCAGCAAGTATCAAACAATATTCGCATGGGTCAATGCACCTGAGATGAGTCTGCTGCATCCGTAACACCGTATCCTGGTGTGGCATTGGACATCGTATTATCGGCTACGTATGCTGGATATCCAATCAATGGTCACCGATGTGTGCCACTAGAAGTTCAAAGAATCCTCACATGTAAGTACAGGTTCAAAGCGCGGTGATAGTGAGAAAGAGGTTGGTTCTAGGCATTCACCCACGTTTATATATGACGACGACCATCTGCGTTCATAGCGTGAGCAATGAGCGCCTATCTGCATGATCTAGATGCCTCTGATTGCGCAGACTGCCAACGGCTCTCAGAAACGGAATGATATCTCCAAGAGACACTAGAGCAAGGTTCAGAAGGAACAAAATATCAGGCTCAGCGTGAGCAGTCTAAAAGACGGGGTGGAACGGAGGGCTTGCAGACGTCATTGTAAGACTACGTTACAGCAAGGTGCAAAGGTATATTGTGACTGGCTCACCCGTCTTGGCTCCCACCGGGTCCGATGCGGAGCGCCCTACAGCCTGATCTTGATGCTGGACAACCATGTCTTCGATGGAGTAGCCGTTTGGTCGCAGGGCCATACAGTCGCGTGACAGAATCATCGCGAGTAAATAGTCGTTTTCGTTGTCGAGCCGCAGACGTCGAGATTCAGAAGGTTATGTTCACCCTTATTACGTCAGACCAGCGGCTCGCAGACAGTTGCCTCGCGACCTGATATCGGACAACCAATGGCGGCGAGTATTGTCTGTGTGCTTTTCAAATCCTCAGCTTGACGATGGTCGGAAGCAAGCCACACCTGCCACGGCCGGGACGAAAGACGCGGAAATGATTACGTCAGCGATGCGTGACTTGAACACGTCGACGTCGTCTCCAAGTTGGCGGCGCGCAGTATCTCTTTCTTCCCAAACCATTACCGTCCTCTTTTCACGCGTCCTTCCCAATGAAGCTGAAGGAGATCCATCGCACATCTACCTTTGCGTGGTCTCCGCACGCGAGCGTGCCGTTGCTGGCGACGGGTACGGTCGCCGGTGCGCTCGACGAATCCTTCAGCAATGAGAGCCAACTTGAGATCTGGGCTCCTGCGTTTATGGACAAGCAAGAATACGAGCTCGGCGGTGAAGGTCAATCTGGGCCGAAAGGAACTGTAACAACTGGCGCGCGGTATGTGTAATGACATCAGCACAATGTCTAGTACTGAAATACAGTATTCGTAGCTTCAACAAGCTTGCATGGGGATTCCCTGATGCCGCGAGTCGGCCAAGTGGTGTCATCGCGAGCGGCATGGATAATGGGGAACTTGCGATCTGGGACCCCGACCGGATTGTGGCGGGTCACGAAGACGCGTCGATATTCAAGAACTCAACACATACCGGTCCTGTGCGCGGACTCGACTTCAACCCGATCCAGCCAAATCTACTCGGAAGCGGTGCTGTTGGCGGCGAGATCTTCATCTGGAATATGCTCGACCCGGCGAAACCCTATTCGCCCGGTGCGAAGAGCAATAAGCTCGAAGATATCTCAGCGCTTGCGTGGAATAATCAGGTCGCACATGTACTCGCTTCAGCATCGACATCGGGATATACCGTCGTCTGGGATCTGCGCCACAAGCGCGAAGTCGTTGCGCTCACTTACGGCGCCGGAGGTGGTCCTGTCATGGGTGGCGTGCAAGGAGGTCTTGCCTACGGCGCGCGTCGCGGCATGAGCGACGTCGCCTGGCATCCGGAGAACGCGACGCGCCTTGTCACATCGTCCGAGGACGATGCTTCGCCTGTTATCATGGTCTGGGACCTTCGTAACGCCCGCGCTCCGGAGAAGGTTAGTGGTTCTCCCTTCTCAGCTATCAAGCGCTCCGGCGAAGTGATTGGCACATTGAGCATCTGTTCATGGCAACGCCGGATAACATTACTCTGCACCTTCTTCTCACACATGTTGCTGTGTTGGATATATGTATTGACGTCCTTTGCAGATCCTGACAGGTCACGAAAAAGGAGTCCTCTCACTATCGTGGTGCAAGCAGGATCCCGATCTATTGCTCTCGTCCGGAAAGGATAACCGTGCGTTGTGTTGGAACCCGCAAACGTCCGAGATCATTGGAGAGCTCCCTTCGGCTTCGAACTGGGCGTTCCAGGTCGACTGGTGTCCGCGCAACCCGGACTTGCTCGCTACGGCCTTCTTCGACGGGACCATCGGCATCCACAGCATCCAGTCCCCTGCAGACGGCGCGGATGGTCAAATCCCAATCCACACACCTCGTCCGGATGGCGCAGACGTGTTCGATGACCTCGGTTCTGCGCGCCACTCTCAGGCAACGTTCAGTCTCAAGCAGCCGCCGAAATGGCTTCGCCGACCCGTGTCCGCTTCCTTCGGTTATGGCGGTCGTCTGGTCTCTGTCTCCAACCTTCCATCTGCGAGCGGAACCCACCAATCTGGCGCCGTCCATCTGCGTACTGTCGTCACCGAGGACGATGTCGTTGAGCGCGCGAGCAAACTGCGCGACGCAGAGGCTGCCGGTACACTCTCCGCTCTCGCCGAGGAACGCTCTCAAGAGGGCGACACCTGGAAAGCGCTTCTCACGCTCTTCCGTGCCGATTCCCGCGACGAACTCATCACACTACTCGGCTTCTCCAAGGCCGACATTGCCGCGAAAGTCGCCGAGGCTGTCGAGAAGCTCAAGGCGCAGCGAGAATCCGATGCGCAGGAGCAAGAGGATGATGAGAGCACACCGCCAAAGAGCCCAGTCGAACTTGCAGACGACGTGAATAAGACGCCGCATGAGCCTGTCGTCAGCTTCGCCGAGCCTGAGGCTTCAGACGAGGCGCCTGAGCTCACCCCGAGCGAGGTCTCTGCATCTGCCACGAGCGACGCTGCTGGCGTGCCAGCGGATGGCGAAAGCACGACCACGGCACCCAGCCTTTTCGGCGACGATATCGGCGCCGGAGCGGGTACGCCACAGCTCGGCGGTGCAGACGCGGACTTCTTCTCGACCATCGGACTCGCCCCGCCGGGCGGCGACACTGCGCCGAACGTCCCGCACACGAACTATGGCTTGGACAGCTCCGTGGCCGCGACTATTGGCAGTGGACCCAGCAGTGTGGCCAGTGAGCGCGCGGGGCTTGAAGGCCCTGCACAGACGACGTTCAGGATTTACCCTGCCGGAGAGAGCGAGACGGACAGGCTCGTCACCCGTGCACTCGTAGTCGGCGACTTCGATAGTGCCGTCGCGCTTTGCCTTGGCGCGGGTCGCTACGCAGACGCAATTCTGCTAGCGGCACGCGGCGGGCCTGAGCTTCTGCAGCGCACGCAGACAGCCTACTTTGCCGCGCACACAGCCCAACTACCGTACCTCCGCCTGTTCCAGAGTGTCGTCACCAACGATCTTGCCGACGTCGTACAAAACGCAGATCTTGCAGAGTGGACGGAGATATTTGTCGTGTTGTGCACGTTCGCCAGTTGCGACGAGTTCGCTGGTCTCGCCGAGCAACTCGGTCGCCGCCTTGAGTTCGCAGGCGCGCTTTTGCCCAAGGAGAAGGTTGCGGAGCGTGAACAGGCGCATCGCAACGCCATGCTTGCCTACCTCGCAGCGGGTCGCCTTGAACGACTCGTCGCTCTTTGGACGGATGAGCTAGCAGCGGACGAGCGCTCGTTGCTCGAGTCCGGCGCGGCAGCCAGCGCTTATGCGGCCCATGCACGTGCCCTTGCCGCATTCATAGAGAAGGTCGCCCTCTTCCGTGCCGCTACGCGTTACGCTGACACGGACATGGGTCTCAACGGCGGCGATGATGGAGAGACAACCTTCCGCCTTGCTGCGCTGTACGATCGCTACGTCGAGTATGCCGACTTACTTGCCACTCAAGGTGCTCTCGACGTGGCCAACGCGTATGTCACGCTTGTTCCGCCTGCGTACGCGAGCGCGCTCGACATCGTCGGTGGTCGTGAGCGCATCGTGAAGGCCGCTAGCAAAGGGCCTGCCAAGGTTGCCTCGACTTCGACGACCAAGGCTAAGGCGACATACGGCGCGCCTGCGTATGGTGCGGCTCCTGCGGCTGCTCCTGGTCCTTACGGCGCGCCTGCTCCGGCTGTACCTGCTTATGGCGTACCTCCGCCTGCTCCTACTACGTCTACTGGGCCGTATGGCGCTCCTGCTCCATCTGGTCCCTATGGCGCACCTCCTGCTCCTGCTGGTCCCTACGGTGCCCCGTCTGCTCCGCCCTCCGGCCCGTATGGCGCGCCTCCTGCTCCATCCGGTCCTTATGGCGCACCTGCACCCTCTGGTCCTTATGGCGCTGCGCCAGGCCCCTCGGGCCCGTATGGTGCTCCCGCTCCCTCTGGACCTCCACCTCCTGGCCCGTACGGCGGCAACTCGCAGTACGGCGGCACACCCCAGATGGTTCCGCCTCCCCGTCCTTTCAGCAACCAGCCTCCTCCGCCCAGCGTACCGATCAAGCGCGACGCAGGCGGCTGGAACGACGCACCCTCAACACTTCCCGAGCGTCGTACGCCTGGACCAGCAGCGAGCAAGCCTCCATCGGCTATCACCGCGCCATTCCCAGGCGGCCAGACCGCAGGTGTGATGAGCCCTACGCTTCGGCAGGTAGCGGGTATGAGCCCTCCGCTTCGTGGCGCCAGCCCTGTGGCGCCTCCGCCTCGCCCTGGTAGTCGTTCGGCGAGCGCCGCTCCCCCGCCCCCGCAGCGTGGGCATGTCACTGCTCCGCCGCGCGCGACGCCTCCGCCACCTGCCGGCGCTTATGCGCCTCCCCGGCCGCCGTCGAACGCAGGCGCTAGCCCGTACGCTCCTCCACAGTCGCAGGGAGCAAGCCCGTACGCCCCTCCGCAGGCCGCTAACACTGGTCCGTACGCGCCGCCGCCGAACGCGAATGCGGGCCCGTATGGCGCGCCGCCGCCCGGTCCCGTGCCGAACGCCAATGCTGGCCCATACCGTCCGCAACAACCCTCGACTGGCCCATATGCACCTCCGCCGGGCGCTCAGGGTGGCATTGCGCCGCCACCAGGTGGATCCCTTGCGCCTGCTGCAGCTCCTGCACCCGCTCCTGCGCCTCCCCCGAAGCCCGCCGCGCCTGCTGGACCGAAGTACCGTATGTAACCAATAATTTCTGCCAGATATTCCTGATCTGATTGGTATCTTCAGCTCCGGGTGACCGCAGTCACATCCCTGCGTCGTTGGAACCTGCATACGCGACGATCACAGGCATACTGGGCCAACTCCGCGCCGCGTTCCCCGCGCAAAAGAGGCTGCTCGACGACGTCGAGAAGCGCTTGAACCCGTTGTTCGACGCTATGAACTGCGAAACTCTTCCGGATCCCGTCGTGGAGAAGCTTCTGGTCATGACTCAAGGTACGTATACACATGCTCGAGTATAAGTACGGTGCTGACATATAATTCAAGCGATGCGCGCGGGCGACAAGCCAACTGCCCTGGATATCCATGTCGAAATGCTCACAAGCAGCATGGGCGCGAACATCTCTGGCTGGATGTCCGGTCTCAAGCAGCTTATTCAGCGTATGTAGATGCGGTCAAAGCTGATGTTTGGATGGACGGAATATCGGACTGTTAAATTACGTGTTGTTGCCACAGTCGTGTAGTGTTGTCTTGTGGCCCCAAAAGACTGGCGAATAGGATCACATTGAATGTTTCTCGATACATCACTGTCGTGTGCCAGGCATACTGCATGATGCACACAATCGAGAAGAGACTAGAGTGGACATCCAAGTGACCGATCGGATCTTCGGGCCGATGTATGCTATCATGCGAACCGGCAAGTGTAGTTCTTGTATCCCACCACCATGGCTTCTAGTCACAGTTCGTCTACATTACTCGCCTGCAACATCGAACCTCCGTACAAGTGACTGCACTCGCAGCGAAATCCCAATACGCGCCAGCGGCCCAAGTTCCGCTTATCAAGTCGCCCAGTTTACGCGTACCACGACCTATCGAGCTTCCTCCAGAGACGCACCCGTTGCCCGAGAGTATTGAAGCATATGTGCGTGATATAATATACACTTACAATACATATTTGACTGACTGGGGAGTATGACTCACAGTTCGTGTATCCGTTCACTCTCGAGCCACACGTTCTCTCCCTCGAATCCGCCCGCGCCCAGACACAAGCCGATCATGCCGCGCGGAGAGCTGCACTCCTAGCGGCTCGCGCAGACGAACGTGAACGGCGCAGACGAGCGGCACTTGCACGTGTGGCGCCTGGATTCGACGGCAGCGGGCTGCTCGTTCCAACACGGAAGGAGGTTCTATCCCCGGCGGCGAATCCAAGTTCTGCGGCCCCGAGTGAGCCGAAAGAGGAGAGGAGGAGAGATGTTATGGATGATCTAGTGGACGAGCTGGCGAAACTGGACTCATCACAGTGACAAATTCGACTTGCGTATATCCGGCACAGCGCTATGTTAATCCGAGTGTATTCGCTGAACTGGATAGACGCTCTTGCGAGAGTGTTCGTTCCAACTCTCGGGTACCCTTATTGTCTTCAACTTCCTCGACATTGTCACCATCTATACCTTTATCATCCTGAGATATATGTAATCTTCTGAAGCTTCATGGGTTGCATGCTGAAGAATGACTACCTAGTACTCTATCTTCCATTCAGATGTCTTGTCTCCAATCCGACAGTATCACAGCGCGTGAGAATCGTCTATCATGATGGTCATTGCAAGAAAGGAGATACAAACGAGCGACTATGCTACACTGGTAAAGGAAAACGAGAACGCAGACAGAGGTGGGAGACGGTGCAAGTTATGTAAGGAGCGACGGGCCATTACTATGGTACAGTATGTAACGAGTACGGGTTGGGATATGTTGGTTGCGCATTGATGGGAGGTTAATGATGCAAAACAGGGAGGTATAAATGAGGTATAGGAACCATGATGGAGACTCCAAGAAGTAAAAGAGAAAAAAGCCAAAGCAAGAGTAACTGATTGCAGTGCATGAGAGCGTCAACGATGTGCGTGAGAAGTTCGAAGGGGTGGCAGGATCCATGATGCTCGCAGACGTGATATTTCGTATGATACGCTTCAAGAGCGCATGAAGATCTCGACAGGGATCGGCTTCCGGCGCAAGCCCGAGCTCGCACTGCTGTCGCCACTGTCGCTCGAGCCATCGCTGAAGGCGAGCGAGTCCATCGATACGCGCGGCGACGGTGTCCGCGGGACAACCGGCTTCGGCGCGGGGGCACTGCCCCGGCGCGCGCGTACCATGCGGATGAAGTGGGAAGAAATCATGCGAGGCGACAACGGTCCACGCTCGTACTCACTGGACAGCGTCGAGCTAGACCAGCGGCTGCGCAAGCCCGGCGAGAAGCTATCAACACTACGCGTGTCCTCATCGTCCATTTCCACGTCCTGCGCGAGCGCGATCGCCTCCGGGGCGGGCTCGAGCGCATCAGTGGAGTCGGATACGACGATCGCGGGCACCGGGCCCGCAAGGGCGGCCGCGACGATTGGCGAGGTGGCGAATGCTGGAGACAGAGGGGGCGTCTCAAGAGCGATGCGTGGGAGTTCGTTGTCGGTTTCTTCAGGCGCGAAGATGGCGCGGGAAGAGCTGGCGCTGAAGGGGCTCTCCGGAAGGCGAGGCGGGCTGAGCAAGCCGGAGCTCTTGGAGGGCGTGGGAGCCCAATCGAAGACATCCATGTCGGCGACGTCGGCCGGGATGGGACGCGTCGGCGGCGGACGGATTGGTGGAATGGAGATCGTCAGACGCTTCGAGCGGCGCATAGACAGGCGAGCCGGAGGCGGTGTGGGTGGAAGAGGCGGCCGAGCGGCCAGGAAAGTCGGGTCAAGCTGTGCAGAAGGGGTACGCTGACCGGGAGCAGCCGGAGGGATGACTGGCAAGGGTTTGGTCGCACCCGGCGACGACTTGAGCGTCGGCGAGGCAAGCGCGAAGCGAGAGCCAAGCTCGCGCGTGTACCACGTAGCGTCATCCTCGCCAGCATCATGCTGGACGGGCTGGAAGCGAGGCTGTTGCTTGACAATAACGAGTGGCCGGATCGGGACCGCGGGAACGATCTTTTTCTTCTCCTGCAGAGGAGAGGGAGGCGCTGGGAATTCGTCATCGGATGCCGAAGGAGTGAGCGGTAGCTCGTAGGAAGAGCTCGAGGTCGTGGTGTAGTCGCTCGAGCTGGCTACTGAGAAGGCATCCGAGTCATCCTCCACATCAATTGGTAGGTCGAACGCATATGCACTGAGGCGCACAGAACTGTGGCGCAGAGTACGGGGAGGCGTGACAGACTCGGAAAAGTCGGAACTCGTCGGGGATGAAGTGTTACTAGGTTGATCATGAGCGAGGATCGTTTCTTCTTCGTGTGCCGCGACGTACGATGCAACAGATTCGCATCCGACAGGAAGACGCGAGAGCCGGCGCTCCTTCTTAGAGGTCGTCGAAACGGGAAGGCTGGCCGTGTCAAAGTCGAAAGCGCTCAAACGAACAGATTGATCCGCCGATTCAACTGGTGGACGCGGGGCCGCGCGCGGGCGCTCGAACGTCAAGTCGACTTCCTCGGAAGGAAGCTCCAACATGCTGTGCCTTCCATAGCGGCTGTAGCGCTTGCCGACTGATGGAATGGAGGGCGAGGGCGAGGGTGCGCGCATGGGCATGGGCGAAGGCGCGCGCGAGGATCCAGAGGCAGATGCCTCGTCCTCCTCGACAAGGATTGACAGCCGGCGACCGTTCATAGTGGTCGGGCGGGGCTTATTAGGGCTCTTGCGAGAGCGCGTGGCAGGCGAGCGGCGCAGAGATGAAGGCAATACTAGAATTAAGTGTTAGATGATCTGCTTAATGTACCACAGTATGGTTTATACTCACGAGCCGAGAGAGAGGGCGTAGCGGTCGTGAAAGGTCCGAAAGCGTTCATGGCGGGAAACGTCTAGCGTGTAGTAGTAGAGATGAGGGCGAAAGGCGAGGGAACAGTGCCCGGATCGACGACAACATTTTGAGCTCTTCAAACAATAGTGCCTGTAATGTTTACGGTGGGAAATGAACCGACAGAGAACAAAGCCGCGGCCAAAGAAGCCGGCCTCAGCTATTGTCCCTCACACGTGACAAGGTGTGACGCATCGCCCCTCGGGTTGTTCGGTCCGCAGAGGTCAAAGTCCGGTCTGTCGATGTCGCTCCCGTTCCCCTCTCGATATTCTTCTCCGAGGTGACATGAAGCGCATAAAGTTGAAGTAAGATAGCAACAGCAGGAGGGTAGGGACTCGAAAACCTTGGTACACTCAGCTAGGGGAAGCGCGCGTCACAGGTGACCGGCATTAGCCGCGCTTCCGATTTCTCACGTTTTCCAAACGCGCGAAGACTTGCCGCTTGCTCGCTATTGTATGCACCATACCCCTCACACGTATTTCATGCGCCCGCCTCGCGCATGCCTGAACGATCAACATGCCCTGCTTCACATCATACACTCTCCGAGTCTCGGTGACCGGGCTGCGTCACCAGAGTTACCGCGGCCGACAATCTACTACTGTCCGCGATGCGCGACGTAAATCCGCTTACACGATCCTTGTTCTCGTCGTTACATCTGTACTGCCAAAGCAGCCTACCCTTTTGTGCTCCCAGATGGGCATATTGATCATCTTGCCTGCCGGTGTAACTAGTTTCGGCGTCGGAGACACGTACTGTTCCCATGCACTTGTTCCCGTTCCATCGCATGAGAAATCGAAGAGCCTCATGCGCCCCTTGCGTCTTCGGCCCGTCCAATCACGCATGATGCCCATCTCCCGCTACTCCGCGGAGGCCAGTCGCGTTCCCGCTCTTGACAAGGTGCAGAGCGTTTTGGTGACTGGCACAGATGCGACAGCTCAAGCGCTCAAGCCTAAGATCCGCCCCCAACCCCGCCACATCACGTTCCCTGCACTAACGTGCGACTCATCGTGCAGACGACAGCAATCCTAGTTTTGGCGGAACGAAGGAACGACCCAGTTCATACGTATCATACACACAACATCCATAATCCACAACATCTAAGCAGGAGCGAGCGATGATCTTGCCTTACATGATCCTGTCCCAGAACTTCGCAAGGCGGCCCATCTTGCTGTACGCTAGCCTCTCCGCCTCCTCGTCGCGGATCTGCTGAGCGTCAAACTCGGCGAGGCCGGTGACGAAGTCCATGTCCCCAGCAGCAAGAACAGGAGCACCGGTGGTGAACTTGTGGGCGAGGAAGAGGATGAACTATGAGAGTGTCAGCGTCGGAAGCAGGAAGGAGAATTGAAGTCTACGCACGATGAGTGGCATGGGAAGGTAGTTGGTGACGAAAGTGGGCGCATCCCAGTTGTCGCCGATGAAGTTCTTGAACCCGCTGAAGAAGCAGATCACGAACGTCACGATGAGTGTGTACCAGCCAGCGAAGGGCTACAGGTTGTACATGAGCGTCCACGCGTGCATACTCTCAGGAGCATCTGAAGCTTACCGCTAGCCTGTTGTAGTACGGAAGATCCTTGCGCGAATGACCCTGTGCCTTCCATCCCGCATTGAAGCGCACGTAGACGACCGCAATAGCGAACCAACACATCAAACCCGCCGTACTGGTCAAGTTGACGAAGTAGTTGAAGATCGTGCCGGCGCTCGACTTAAGCGCCGTAAGACCGAGTAGACCGACGAGCCCTGATGGAATCAAGGCAACCCACGGCACACCGCTCTTCGTCGTCTTGAGGAAAATGGCGGGAGCGTTACCGGCTGCTGCGAGGCCGTATAGTGCACGGGAGGATGTGTAGACGTCGGCGTTACCGGCAGACCAGGCGGCGGTGACAAGGCAGGCGTTGACGAGCGAGGGAACGACACTGATGCCTGCGCGCTGGAAAGCGATGACGAAGGGAGAGCTAGCGGCCGTGCTGTCGCCGAGGTTGAGAGCCTCGTCATCCTGGGAGACGAGCATGCCAGCGATGAGGCTGCTGAGAACTATAGAACAGAAAGGTTAGCTCAATCATGTCACGCTGATGATCGAGTATGTCAAGACGTACTGTAGAACAAGCAGATGCGAATGTACACCTTCTTGACCGCACGAGGGACATTCCTGCGTGGGTTCTGTGATGGACTGGTATCAGAAACGCTAGCAATGCAATGTTGCGCTATCATACCTTGCTTTCAGCAGCAGCAAGCGCAACAATCTCGAACCCGATGAAGGCGCCAGAAGCCTGAACGAGGCAGGACCAAAAGCCCAGGAAGCGACCAAGACTTCCCTCGATACCGACTGGGCGAAGATAGATGTGAGACGGAGATTAGAATGGATCAATGATTCAACGTACGGTACTGGTTGAACGCGCCAGGGTTGTTCCAGTAGCGGAAACCGATAGCATCACCCCGCGGGCCTCCACCAGCATCGACGATGATACCGAGGATAATGATACCAACGATGGTAATCACTATTGGTTGATTAGTACAGCAGAAAGATGCAGAAGTGATAGGGCTCACTCTTGATGCTTGCGAACCAGAACTCGCTCTCGCCGTACACTCCCTAGAGTATATGAGGACCCCACGCCGTCTTGACACGCATGGAGACTACATACCGCACCGAAGCTATTCAGCAACATGACGACTACCCATGCTACCATGATGTCTAGATAATGATTCAGCCACGACGTACAGATATGTGCACAATCAGAATACTCACAGACTGTCGAGTTAGTGTCCTTGTCCCAGTAACCGATGATGACGCCGACCGCGATGATCTCGGCGGGGAAGACGAGGATCCAGTTCAACCAGTAAAGCCACTAGCCATTGTCAACATTGCTAGTATACAAGTCCAGAAACCCACTCACACCCAGAGCGAAGCTCCAGCTTCTACCGACGAAGCGTTCCGCCAGCTTCACATGACCACCCTGAATCGGGAACAGCGTGACCATCTCTCCGAGACAAAGCATGACACCCAAAGCGGGAGTTGCTAGCCGGAGGTCAGCACATGATGCGCATATATGTTGAAGAGACTCACAGCAGAATAGGTACGCGAGCAACAGGCCGAGCGGGCCGCCGTTCATGAGACCTGTTGCCGCATTCTGCCGGCGGATTCAGAGGTGGTCGTCTGGATAGTTCGCTATACATACCAGGAAGAGACCAGTACCAATGACACCTCCTAGTGAGATCATCGCAATCTACATGGACATTAGAAAATGCCTTCAACTCAAGCAAGCGACAACGCATACATGCCGGTTCTTCATCCTGCGCTGCAATGTGCCTGGCGTCTTGAAGCCGCCTTCCTCTCCAGATATCCCCAAGACATCCGTAACAACTTGTCCGGCCTCAACATCCTTCTTCTCGTCATATGTGATGGGTTCAGCCATGACGGGAAAGGTCGTAAAGGAAGGAAAGGGGAAAGGGCAGCAAGAGTGCTAGCACGAGGAACGCTCCATCGCACCGCAAGGGCTATATACGCGAGCGTACAGCGTCCGTGTGACAAGACTTAGCGCGCTATCAAGATAGCAGGCTCATTTGTCCGGAATGATCGAACTGCAGCAGGTCACTATCGGAAGGCCGACCGGTCATCGAACGGCCGAAAGCTAGCTTTCGAGTAAACGAGCGTTCTGTAGACAAGTAGCGGAGGATTCAATGCTCACCAATATTGAAGGCATATTTTCATGTCATAGACGCGTACTAACGGGCTTCATACGCGTATGACAATGCCCTACATGTCAAACGGTGAGCAGTGTACAACTACACGTGATCGCGTTTCGGGCGGGCCGATGTGCCCGGCTGATTGCTTTTTTACTTCCGCCACAGCACGCGTGCCTGGCATCTCCAAACAAGGTCTTCGAGCACGATCCGCGCCAGCTCCAGACACAACCAGTAGAGAGGCACCAGTTACAGCATGGTCACTACTCTTGATAACGTGTCTCCTTGAATACAAGGCAAAACGGTCATCGGATGCACAGGCAAAAGGCAATGTGAAGAGCCCCTGGACTGATGGGAGTAGGTGGGCTAACTGCGCGCGCGGCAAACGGAGAAGTACAGGGTTATACATGAGGACGCACAGTTCACGACATCTTGACAGCCTTCCTCTCTCTGATTCTACTCGCGCTCATCTTGGCATCCTGGGCCTGAACCTCCTTCTCCTTCATAACCGCGTCGGCAGCTCTCCTCGCCGCCTCGCCCTCACGCTTCCACCCTTCGCGCTCGAACTCATCCCACTCTTCGCGCGCATCGATCCAGCGTTCCTGCACATCCCTCACGTCGCTCCGCGTTCCGACTAGCTTCCCTGCGGCGCTCGAGATCAGACCATACGCGTTTGGCCGTGCTGCAGCATCGGATGTAGCTGGCGGGACAGTGCCCTCAGGCTGTTTCGCATCAGGCGGCGGGACGTAGACATAACCAGATGCGCGGTCTATAGCGTGTGTCAGATGCAGCATCGAGTGCTTATCCTGCGAGCAGGGTGAGTACAGGCATTATGAACGACGTTGCGTAGCGTACCTCCACGGCCAAAGTCTCAAACCCGACTAGACCGGATTCCTCAATAAGCTCGCAGATTGCCATATTCAGGTCCTTAAAGCGAGGCGCCGCGGCGCTCAACGCGTTCTCCAAATAAGAGAGATCTTGCACTTCGGTGTAGAAGTCGAGATTGAAGTCTATGATGCGTGCATGAGCAGAGAGCACCTTATAAGTTGATGAATGTCGCACCGAGTTCCCCATATTGCGTGATGAGATCGACCTTGCTGAGCACGTTGACGTGCGGTAGTTCGAGATGCAACATGGCCCGCAGGCTCAGTAGCAAAACGCTTATGTATTTTGAGGCATCCGTAAGGTAGTGCGCGTCGCATAGATGTACTGCCGCTAGCTGCGCGTCAATAAGCTCGCCCGCAATTGCCCGTATTGAGCGAGAGACATACCCGGAAGCCTATCTTTGTCAGCCGCTGGATAATTCTCTTCAATGAGTCGTGGTTGGTGGATAGTTCGACCTGTCCCGGTAGATCGAAACAGACGTATGCGTCTTTTCCCAACTCGGCGAGCTTCTCTTCCAACCAGTCAAAATTCGCCTCAAGGTACTCCATTGCGTAGAGCATTCCCCCATTCGGGCCCAGTCCATGCGCTTCCATGACGTCAGATAGGGTAATAAGCTCTGAGATGTCTATTGCACACGGATACGGTAGCGTGTCGTTCGCTGGGTCGAGATTGACGATGGAGATGGGACGGGAGAGCGCTGTGAGCAGCTGGTGCTTCCCATAGCAGTATGTGGATTTGCCCGAACCGGGAGCGCCGACGACGATTTCACCAAATGGCATTTGTAGACAAGCCTATACACCTTGGTTCCACTGCCACCCGCGAGATACAGGGTTCCCTTAAGGCAAGGCGCGTGAACGTGGTGATGGTAGGAGGCAAGAGTGACGCGCGGGATGGGCAACGATGTTCAGAGACGCGGCTTGCTCTTACCCACCACCATATTTCGCGAAGCCCATAGAGCTCGGCTTCGTGAAACTCAATAGACAAGTCGGCAGTGATGCGCGTCCTCTCCAAGGTCATAACCTGGAGTGGTAGCTATCAAGACCAGGTAGTCCCGGTCTACGTCGTTGCCCGCTGGCCCGATGCGGTATTGCCGTGCTCGTGATGAGTACCACTTTGGCGAGTCCCTTTGCGGTTCGTCAAGCATAGTATGCTGCTATCGACTGGGGACGAATGTCTGGCTCACCTCTCAGGCCGTGGAGTCGGGCTCCGGATACAAAACATACATACGACTTGGGAGACCACCCCAGCAGCGTCCTATGAGTTGTACGGGATATCTCTCACCTCTCACCGAGGAAGACCTTATTCTCAGCACGCATATGCTTTACGCACATCTATTTATGGCTGATGTTGGCTCTACTGAATACCTAAAATTGCAGCGAATGATGAATCCCACAGGCCGGAAAGGTACGCAAGCCTTGAGGCTATGCGTGTGTCGGTCGTTCTCAGCGGTCAAGCATCCACCTACACGCTCGCACGGACCTTGGTGGGAAGCTCAACATCGCTGGCACGTCATTAGCTACTTGCTCCGGGTGTGTAAATGTATCTATCTTTATCTTCATCGTCCATTTTGGGATACTTTTGAGTTGCCAACACTGACTCTTGGCTTGGCTTGCAGGCTCTAAGTATCGTCGGCCTCGACGTAACGCAAAACGGATGTCTGTGCGGTGGAACAATCATACGCGGGAAGTAAGTTCACTCCTGCCAGTGCCGAATACCATTTACAACTGAACGCCCGTGATCTAACCGTGGCCTGATGGCTTCTCGTCGCAGGACTAATAATGGATGTGCCGCTTCCTCGGTTCGTACGGTGACATAGCAATGGTATACGGTAAGGGTGCTTGGGTTCATTCGCACTGTTGTCCTCATGCCGCTCACCAGTCTTACCGTACAACGTGGGTACCTCGAATGCGTAACGCCAATGGAGGACTTTGGAACTTGCATTGGATGTACACCGTCTGTGCAAGTTAACCACATACGAGGCCGAGGAGTGAGTAGATCCGGCAGGGCTCGGATGATAGCAGTGAATGCTCACTGATTTGGGACTATCGCGCCAGTGCAGGCGGGAATGAACGTCATCCCATTGGTCTGCAAGCTCACAAACGCGCTGTGAGTACATCTCATAGTATTTGCATGCTCCGTAAGGAAAGCATCGTATAGGGATGCTCTTACTCTGCAAAGGGCCCGGCAGCGATGGTATAAAGATCACGTTGAAACTGGACGAGGAAAGTCAGGCCTCCTCGGTCCCCAGTCATCACCGGTCCTCCTCAGTCCCAATGGCCTTCACCGCTCTCCTCTCGATCGTCGCTCTCGCCACTGCTACCAGTGGTCAGTCAACCCTCGCTTCAGCTCCCTCAACGTTTGTGCTAATGCGCTTTTAACAGCTGCCGTCACCAAGCGCGTTACTTGCGCCGACGGTAACATCACGGCCAACGAAGCGTGCTGTGTCCTCTTCCCCATCCTCGACGATATCCAGACGAACCTGTTCGACAATGCTGGCTGTGGTGAGGATGTGCACGAGTCCCTCCGCCTGACGTTCCACGACGCCATCGGCTTCTCGCTGCACAACTCTTCCGTCGGGTAATTTTCTCCGATTTATTATGCCCGCTTCTCTTTCTGATCACTTTCACAGCACCGGCGCCGACGGATCCATCGCTATCTTCGAGAACATCGAGGCTAACTTCCATGCCAGGCGAGTACAGGTCTCCACATAGTCGACTGTGTGCTAATACTTTATCTTCTTCAGCATCGGTGTTGACGAGATCATCAACGAGCAGAAGCCGTTCCTTGCCCGCCACCCGGAGATCAACACGGCCGACTTCATTCAGTTCGCTGGTGCAGTAGGTGTCTCCAACTGCCCAGGTGCTCCGCAGCTTCAGTTCCTGCTCGGTCGTGTGGACGCGACGGCACCCGCTGTCGACAAGACCATCCCGGAGCCCTTCGACACGGTCGACAGCATCCTTGCTCGCTTCGCCGACGCTGGCTTCACCCCGGCTGAAGTTGTTGCTTTGCTCGCTTCGCACACCGTCGCTGCAGCCGATGAAGGTCAGTTCTCTTACATATCTCTTACATCCGGATGCTCACAGAGCCGTCAGTCGACCCGACCATCCCCGGAACTCCCTTCGACAGCACCCCGTTCACCTTCGACACCCAGTTCTTCGTCGAGACCCAGCTCCGCGGCACGCTCTTCCCCGGTACCGCTGGCAACCAGGGTGAGGTCGAGTCACCACTCAAGGGCGAGATGCGGCTGCAGTCCGACTCTGAGCTCGCGCGCGACTCGCGCACTGCATGCCTCTGGCAGGCGAACGTCAACGACCAGGCCCACATGATGAGCTCGTTCTCCGCCGCGATGGCCAAACTTGCAGTGCTCGGTCAGGACACCAGCAAGATGGTCGACTGCTCCGACGTCCTTCCTCGCGTCAAGCCGTTCACTTCCTCCGCGACCTTCCCTGCCGGTCTCTCCAACGCCGATGTTGAGCAGGCGTGCGCCACCTCCGCCTTCCCCACCCTCAAGACTGACCCCGGCCCGGTGACCTCTGTGGCCCCTGTGTACGTCTCCCAACCCATGGACCTCGAAGCCACTGCTAATACATCTCGACAGCCCTCCTTCGTAAACCCTACGTCTCTCATTTGCTTGAGTTTCTTCCTACTATTGGGTTCAGGGTTTCGGAGCATCGCACTGTTTGTATGTACTTTGGCGTCGTTGTATAAATCTGGATCTTTCATCTTCTTTCGGCATGGCGTTGCTTAAGGCAGGTGAAGTCTGCAAGGTGTATATCGATACAACACCTGAGTCTACTCTAAACAACGCATGCCGCATACAACCGCCACAAGACGCTTGAGACGAGAAGCCCTGCAATGACCAATACGGCGGCCATCTCCACCCATACTGCTCTGAAGGATCGAACAATGGCCGCCCCTGTCCCCATCTTAGCTTCGATGCGCTCTTGTTCGCGCACACCAGGGTCGAGGTCGCTGGCACCTGGTTGACGAGGGCGGAAGGCAGTTCTACGCATCCCGAGCCCTGACCCTTCTACGACTGCTACTAGAGCCTCGCGCAACGCAGCTCTACGAGCAAGCAGCCATCCGCGTCTGGGATACACGCGGGCGAAATGGCACGGTAAAGCTTGCACCGCCAACGAGAGCCTCATTCGAAGGTAGACCGGCAGAGTGGTCCGAGGGATGCTGAGATGGTCGGATAAGGTAGGTCCTATCAGATGTCGAGCCAGTGCGCAGTTGTACTGATAGCTTGTCCTCGTGTGTGGTCGATCCGCGAGTGCTCTGAGGATGGGTAGTGTCGGAGGTACGAGGTGCTGGAGTTCGGGATGAGGGGAGAAGAGGTGTATGACGACGGATGGAGGAAACTTGTCCGCTTGCGCTGGCGTCATGAAGTGACTGCGTAGTATATCGGGGGAGATGCCCATGTAGAACCCGACCTGGCGCCAGACGGCCAAATACGCGCTCTTGCTAGCATATGGGATGTTGAATCCCAAACGCTCCAAACACCAGATTGGCACTGTGGAGAAGGCGGCCAGCCTATGACAGAATTGCATCAGCGCATATCATATAGACATGAAGCACTGCACTCACGTGCCACTCATATCGAGCTGGTTCACAGGTACAAAATCGAGCGAACCTTGTGAGGCACGGCTAAGATGCTCTCTGGCTCGCCGTCGAGCTATTCCATGGAGCATGCGAACGCGAACAGCCGACTTCCAGCCAACGCCTCCAGGTGCTATGGCTGGGACTCCCTCCGCCTTCTCGTCACATCTTGCTTGTGGCCAATACGTTGTGGAAGACGTGCATCCCATGACGTCGAGAACAAACTGAAAAGTCTCCATAAGTCGGATATAGGTGCGCTCGTCCTGAGCCCGCGTCGAGGGACTGGGAGATCCTTCAGCGTCATACTTCGCCGTCCCAGGTACGAGGTATGAGACTGCGTTCAGCGTGGCCACGATGCGTGAGCTGGAAGTACGTCAGTTATATGAGAAGTGCAGCTATGGAGGCGTATACACACCTAGCGAAACCGCCGGCTAGACTGAAGAAAGCGAGGGACTGCGCTATCTGCGCGGCATAATCCAGAAAGAGATCGCTCGCAAGCGCAATATCCTCTGGAGTCGCGCACAGATCATGTGGCGGGTTCCGTAGCGAGTCGTATAGTTCGTGTGCCGGGTCTCCTGTCGGTGCCGCAAGACTGTCTGAACAGGAGCTCTGAAGCTTTCCGAGCAAGTCTACTCCCACAGAGGATGTCTGGTCCGGGAAAAGAATATCCAAAGTCGCGTCGCAGGGAGGGTCGCTTTCTTTTGTCCATCTACAGTCATACAGTAAGGAGTTTTTACAGTGTGCAACACTCAGGGACACGCACCTGTCTGCCTCTTCCGCGCGCACGCATGATTCGTCCCACTCAAAGCTGGTGATCCAAGAGGACACAACGTCTCCAGGTTTTAGCCCTTTGGTGTCTTCAGAGCAAAAGACGGGCTTCGCAGTACTGTGTGCCATTGCTGATCAGGCTAGTGCAAGATAACGACGTCTTGAGCGATTGGAGGTGATGAGTATTTGGAGAGGGGGCCATGCGAACATTCGAAGAGAGAATCAGCTGCCGATCTCGGCCATGGAGGTAGTCATCGCCGGAAGGAATCGTTAGGGAGGTACGGGTGCATTAGAATGGTGGTGAAGCAATATAGCAATGCATGAAAAAAGTGATATGGCGGTAAGAGCCAAAGGAGGTGGCGCGTCGAAGCGTGCGAGCACTACTCATTGATGTATTGATGGCCAGACCCAAAACGAGGTGAGCCCTCGGGCAGCCCATGAGAGCAGAGCTCATCGGCTCTACCGCTTCAAGCCTCTAACGTTGAAGATACAACTCGGAAGGGAAGGCATTTTGACTCATGATCAAGTGATATACATCATGACGTCGGACAGTACTGGACGCTACAGGGCATTTGGGGTGAATAATGGTGATCAAATCGCTTCCATCAAGACCCTCCGCTCCCACCACCACCTCCACAGCCGCCGCCACCACCACCGCAACCGCCACCACCCCCACTGCAACCTCCGCCGCCACTACATGCTGCGCCGCCGCCGCCGCAACTACCAGAGCCACCAGCACAACTACCGCCCGCGCCGCACGAAGAACCTCCACCAGAGCAAGTAGCCCCGCTTCCCTGCAACACTTCGTCAGCTCACCCTCGACCTCTTGGTCATGACCACTTACTACAGCACATCCGGCATGACCGAATGTCCCAACGCCTCCGGAACCCACGGCGCATCCAGCTGTAGTATACCATACAGGTACCGGATATAGGAACGCGGCTGCGTGCGCCACTCTGCGGTCGTAGTCTTCGCGAGCCATTTTCCCCTTTCGCGCCAATTTCAGATCTCGTTCTCGACATTTGGCATGCTTCGCAGCATGTTCCTTTAGGGCGGTATCGGTCGTTGCTCCTGGCACGTATATGCTATTGTGGTCTGATGGATGTGTCGCGGCTGGCGTGGGCGGACGAAGAGCCGCAGTCGAGGAGTTGTGATTGCCGCGTCTGATGAGGCGGGAAAGTCGCTGTCCAACGGTTGTGCCCGGAAGTGGACAGCCACAATACATGTATGCTAACCCGAACCTGGCCTGGCAGAGTGACATCATTGTCAGATGGAATAGCGGTACAGCGAGACTTGGTACGTACCCTCCACGCGCGGCATGTCACGTCGAACGCATCGGCGAGGTGAACTTCCTCGACCTTGTCGTCGTGATCAACGAACCTGCCGATGAGCCGCAGACAATCCGAGTTATACGTTGTCGCGGAGAGCTGGTGTGTGTGCCAAGCAAGGTCGATGTCGAGCGTCGGCACGAAGAGTGCATCGGGAGAAGAAGCCATCAAATCCAGAAAGCTATACGACGTGATTAGTCAGTAAAGGCAGTAAGCGAGGAGAAAGACCACTCACGCATGATAGCGTGCTGAGGCATGATGTAGCGCGCGCTCATCCTCCGGATTGTTAAAGGACCCGGGCGCAGTCCACCCCAAGTCACACATCTTCGCCACGAAAGATCCTTGGCGGAGTACAGCACCGACGAGTTCGACCGAGAAGGGTCGTTGGTCGTTGTAAGCTGCAAGAACCCGAGCCATTATCGGGCGTCGGTTCTTGTACGCTCTGGTCCCTTGTAAGTCTGACCAATTCCACCCAAGCTCGCGTCCTATCGCTTGAGATACGCCGAAGCCGGCGCCACCCGAGCCGGCCTGATATATCAACTCTGAGACAGTCGGCATGGCACCAATGAAGGCGTACTTGGTGGTCTTGGCCCGCGGGAAGTCACAGTCCTTCTGGGGTGTACGTAAAGAGTTGCTACAATACGAGGATTAGGATGATCCAGATATTGTGAGACGAATGAGACATACGCAAGAAAGGGTGTAGGATCTTCTAGTCCCTCTGCCCCCGTATGATCGCTGGCAAGATCCCGACTAAAGCGCGCGACAGCGAGGGACTTGTGAGTGATCTTGAAGCCATCTTCCTTGCATCGGACTGAGAACTTCTGCTGAGCAAAGCCAGATCCAGAAGAGGTGATGTATGCTATGAGTTGGCTCAGTCCCTTGGGATGCATGACTTGCAACAGATAGTGATCAGACTTACGAGCTTCGTTGGCGTATCCGCAGTTTGGGCATATGAGCTTCTGTGATCTGAGGACTGACGCGCATTCTATAGGATCAAAGGGCAGGCCAGTATGTTGCTGCCAGAGGTCACGACGTTCCTGGGATGCGCCATTCGTCAAAGCAGTGGGATCGCCGAGGCGTTTCTATGAGGGTGTCGGTCTCGGGCATATCGTATCACGACGTCCAAGCTCTCACAAGTGCAGAGAGAAAGGTATTGACAGGTTGATTGTGCAAGACACCAAGGTGCCTGAGAGAGGGAACGCGTCGTATATCTTCGGCATAGCATCTATGATAGCCTGTCAGTCTAGACCGATCGTGAGCGAAACGTATACATACCGAGGATTCAGAAGGTACGCGTGCCAAACAAGCCATACATCGAGCGGCGGCGCAACATCCAGAGTCCATGGAAAGTCCGCGCACTGGGTCGGAGTGTGCGAGAGGGACTGAGTCCATCTCTCGAATCTGAAGCGAGGAAGTCAGATGGGACTATACTGATACGTTGCACAAGGACTCGCCTTTCGACTGCTAGATGCACAAACCAAGTCCAACGTCGCTCAGGACCAACCCGCTTGACCTCTTTCGGAAAGCGGGCAGCGGCGACACTGTCCTGGTCTTCGACTTGCACTCGGAGCTCCGCGAACGCACGCAGAAGGGAGAGATGTAGCTTGAGGTCTTCGATTTCTATCAGCGGCGAGTGGACCTCATGAACGCCGATTTGGAACTTGGTGGGGGGTTGGTATACCGGAGTTCCTATTGAGACCTCGACGGTGGTATATGAGGGAGGACGGTCCATGGCGTTTGATTTGGCGACATAGGCTGGATCTGTATAAGTACTGACGTTGGCAATCAGGGCGAGGCTCCGATCACTCGCTGTTGTTCCGTTCAGTCAATTAAAGGATAGCAAGCAACCTCCCTGTACAGCCTTGCGAAGGTACAAAGGCACCAAAAGCTTGCATGTCTGTCGGCACGTAATGTATCATGTCCCGGATACCAATGCCGCCCATTATACAGAAACGTTGATCGAGTAGTAGATAGAAACCCTCAGCATCCAACATGGAGGACGGAAGGAAGACGCGTCCGCGCCGGTGCTCACGGGGCCGCGCGGAATGCGTGGGAACTGATTCCCTCTATATACATATCAGCAGGCCCCCGCGGCGACCCCCTCTTTCTCCCGTGTAGTAGTGAAGTAGTGGTCAGTGAGACGTCAATGATAGGATTCTAGACATAACCGAGAAAACTAGCCAAAGAACTGATACTAGTACTCATGAGTGACGATCGTCGAGTCTGAAGAGCCTGGAAAACGCTTTAGGACCCGCCACCGCCACCGCCTCCCCCGCACCCCCCACCTCCGCCTCCGCAAGCGCCGCCGCCACCACCGCAAGCACCTCCACCACCACTGCAAGCGGCACCTCCGCCGCCGCACGAGAACCCACCTGAGCAGGTAGCCCCTCCACCCTACGATGCTTCATGAGCGTCCACTTCGCGAATCAATGTAAAGGCAAGGCAACTTACCGAAGCGCATCCTGCATAACCAAAGGTCCCAACACCACCAGCACCAACAGCGCAACCCGCCATGGTGTACCAAATCGGTACGGGGTATAAGAACGCCGCGGCGTGCACGCCGCCTTGGTCATACTGCTCGCGAGTCATCTTCCCTTTCTGTACCAGCTTCAAGTCGCGCTCGCGCCGCTTGGCGAGTTTTGCTGTATGCTCCGCAAGTGCGGCATCCGTAGTCGCACCTGGGACGTAGACGCTGTTGTGGTCGGAGGGGTGCGTCGCAGCCGCAGCGGATGAGTGGAGAGCCGAGCCCTGAGCATGATTCCCCCGTTGGATGAGGCGCGAGAGTCGCTGACCGACTGTTGCGCCGGGGAGTGGACAGCCACAATGCATGTATTGCACCCCAAACCTGGCCTGTAAAGCGAATCAGCCAAATGGCGTGCGCAGGCTGGAAACAATCACCACGTACGTTCCAAGCCCTGCACGTCACGTCGAAGGCGTCCGCAAGATGAACTTCCTCAACCTTATCGTCATGGTCCACGAAGTGACCAATGAGCCTCAGACAATCCGAGTTGTATGCGGTCGCGGAGAGCTGGTGTGTGTGCCAGGCCAAGTCGATATCGAGTGTAGGTACGAAGAAAGCATCAGGAGAAGAAGCCATCAAGTCCAAGAAACTACGTGATTGGTCAGTTCTTGTTCGCGGTGATTGAAGACGAATACCTACGCGTGATAGCGTGCCGACGCGTGGTGCAGGGCTCGCTCGTCCTCCGATGCTTCGAAGCATCCAGGTGCAGTCCATCCCAAGTCCGTCATCTTTACCACGAAGGAACCCTGGCGAAGGACCGCGCCGACGAGCTCGACCGAGAAAGGTCGTTGGTCGTTGTAGGCCGTGAGTACCCTAAGCATCAGTCGGCGTCGCGACTTATACATCGAAGTGTCTTGCAGAGCCGTCCAGTTCCATCCTAGCTCGCGGCCCACGGATCGAGCCAGTTCGGGGTCCGCTCCTTTGGCGTTCTTCACCATGTCTGCGATGGCCGGTATAGCGCCGAGGAAGGCGTACTTGATCACCTTGGCTCGTGGGAAATCGAATTCCTTCCTGGGCGTCCGTAGAGAGTTCCTGCGATGGAAATCCGCCGTCAATATTCAGACTCGCGCGTAATGCAAGTATAAGACATACGCGAGGAACGGGGTGGGATCTTCCGACTTCTCCGCTTCCGAATGATCAGCAATAAGATCCTTGCTTAAGCGTGCAACGGCCAGAGCCTCGCGAGTGATAGTGAATCCGTCTTCCTTGCATGAGATAGAGAATTGCTGCTGGGCAAAGCCAGTCCCATCCTCGGTGATGTACGCTATGCCATGGTGTCATTTCAACACGCCGGGTTGCAGATGAGAAGAGGTACGTACGCGCTTCGTTGACATGTCCACAGTTGGGGCACTCGAGCGTCTGCGTGGTGAGTATCGAAGTGCATTCGATTGGATCGAAAGGAAGACCGGTGCTCTTCTGCCAGATGTCACGGCGCTCCTGAGAAGCACCAGTGGTGAGGGTAGTCGGATCCCCCAGGCGCTCCTGAGCAAAGGTTAGGCAGGGAACATTGAAGCGCACCCGACACTCACAAGTGCGGAGATAAAGGCGGCGGGATGAGCGTGCAGTGTCCCAAGATACGCGAGAGAGGACACGCGCCGCGTATCTTCAGCGTAGCATCTACGAGGGCTGATCAGTAAGAGTTTCTGACGCTCAAAGAGTGGGCATACCGAGGATTGAGGAGATAAGCGTGCCAAACGAGCCAAACATCGAGTGGCGGCGCATTCTCTAGGTCCCACCGAGAGTCGGCGTCCTTCGTTGGAGTACGCGGGAGGTACTGGGTCCACCGTTCGAATCTACATCGGTCAAGGTCAGATTTCACGCAGAATAATGAATAGAGTACAACAGACCTCTCGACGGCCAGGTTGACAAACCAGGTCCATCGCCTCTCGGGGCTTAGCTGCTTGACCTCTTGCGGGAAATGAACAGCCGCATCACCAGTCTGGTTTTCGACTTGTGCGCGAAGCTCAGTGAACGCACGGAGCAGAGCAAGGTGTAGTTTCAGGTCCTTAACCTGTACGAGCGAGGTATCGATCTTATGAATACCAATGAGGAAGGTAGTGGGAGGTTGATATGCAGGAGGTTCTTCAGAGTCATGGGCGTTATATGAAGGTGGTTGGGCCATGGTGTCCAATCCTTAAAGAGAGCATGTAGTACTGGGAATTGCATACTTATACCCTTGCTTGTCCATCGGGCGCTTCGCTTGAGCACGGTGCCATTCGGCCAGTGTACAGCCTTGTACAGCCTTTCGTGAGGTACAAGGGCCATCTGGGGACCGTGGACGGGTGACCGGGAACAGTACTCGCGCTAGCATGCGTTTTGCGGCCCACAAGAGACGATAAGCGCAGATGAGGCTTAAGAAGAGTGAACATCTGAATTGTGATTATCCGGAGCATGGGGTCCGATGGTGGGTCGGGCTAAACGCGCATTGGCCTCGCGCGTCGCGGAAAGGGCACTCTCCCACCGACCCCCATCGGGTTTGTCGTGGAATATGATCATTATATTTATTCTGTCGTCTCGCCGCACACCAGCCATCCGTATACCCGACTGCTCGCCAAAGTAACCATCCGCCGTAAGGCCTAGTGCCGCCGGCCGACTAGAAAACGACGCGAGCGATATTCGGATCCTCCAGCTCTACCCACACGCGCACTGCCCTCGAACATCATGCGCGCGATGTTCTTCGTGTAGGGACACTGCCTTCTCAATGTATCCCTTGCGATAGCATAAGGCCAGGAACGTCGCTCATATTTGAATATGGTCAGGTGTGCTCCGTCTTAGTGTAAAACAGCCAGCTTACACTGAGACGCTGCATAGGCGCGCACTCCTGGCCTGTGAGATAGAGTTCGGTGTTGGGGACCAGCATCAGAAAAGCGGGTGAGTACTCTTCTGTACGCATAGTTCATGGGTCTCATCTATGATTCAGCATGTCTCTAGCTCTGCATTCAGTTCAACACTGTGTTCTACGCAATGCCAATGGCCACAGCAGCGACTCAACACACGGGGACGCTACCATGTGTCCTTCCGTGTCGTGACAATGGACATACATTGTTTGCATAGTCGGCCGACGGCCGACTGCTCGCCGCGTCTATCGGCGCAACGTGTTTCGCAGTCTGTGCCACATACACAAATTCCCCCTGAGAATGACGATCATAATACATAGGCTATTATACACACTCGAAGACGGATTAAAGCTAGAAGATTGGCCATCGAGGAGCTCCGCGCATGTCGATCTTCCGCCTGTACTTTTAAGTCCTGTTGCGTGCTCCCGGAGACCAATGGCGAGGTGGCATTTACACCCTCTTTAGAAGGTTAGCGCGATAGCCTTCCGTTCTCCCCGATAGCGTCATGCGCAATCGCGAATGTCTCTCGCGTCTTGACTTCGCAAGGCTGCGCGGCAATCATCGTCGTTTTTCTGCCGACTCGGTCTTCGTGAGCGGCATGGGGTACTCGTGCCTGTGGTGGTGGGTACGTCTACGCAGAGGTGCCGAGAGCAGGTGCCTGCCGTGCAAGACGTAACGATAGAACGCTATGGTGTGCTGCATTGTCGCTAGCGGACTATATCTACTCGCCTACCGTTCGCTGTTGGGTGGCTTGTGCACGTCTCTGCACTAGGCTTCACCATGTCTGCCGGAGTACCGTTTGCGCAGGATCCAGCCGCGCCGACCTTGGCCGGCTCTGCGCGCAACGCGTCGCTCGACTCCATCGACAAGAAGAGCTTCGCCGACGTTACCACTACGAAGAATGTCGACGACTTCGAGTCTACGATCACCCGCGATGACCTTGCCGAGCCGGATCCTGATAGTACAACGCGGTTCAGCGACATCTTCCTCCGCCGCCGTCGCGCTCCCGCGGATCTCGACGCCATCGCGACCAAACGGTCTGTCTACGATGATCCGTCTCTCGCCCCGCACTACTGGCCCAAGAAGGAGTACGAGAATTACCATCGGTTCGATCCCAATGTGCGCTGGACTGTTCGCGAAGAGAAGGTTAGTCGGCTATGTTCTATGGTTGAATGACCTATCTGAACCCAATTTCTAGGCGCTTGTTCGCAAACTCGACTGGAGGGTCATGTTATGGGCTTGCATAACGTTTTCAGCCCTTAACATCGACAGAAACAATCTGGGAAACGCCAACTCGGATAACTTCTTGGCTGATTTGGGCTTGACGACAAACGGTGTGTACCTCTTGGGAATCTGTTATTCATGCACTCAATGAATCATCGCAGACTATAACTGGGGAAACAGTATCTTCCGGCTTACCTTCCTCTGCGCCGAGCTTCCTTCTCAGATGGTGTCGAAACGTCTTGGTCCTGATCGCTGGATTCCCGTAAGCTTCCCTTCACCAGACGCCTCTGGTGAACGCTAACATCCTTCCAGACGCAGATGTGTGCTTGGAGTGCGTTGACCCGATTCTGTCGGCATTTCATAGACTAACAATGATTCAGGTCTCGTCACCCTCGCACAGTTCTGGCTCACTGGTCGCTCGTCCTTCTTCATCTGCCGCGCGTTGCTTGGGTTCATCCAGGGAGGGTGAGTGGCATATCTGCTTGCGATGTACAGACGCCAACTTTTAGTCCAGATTCATTCCCGATTTGATTCTCTACTTGTCCTACTTCTACACCAAGACGGAACTGCCACTGCGCCTCGCTTGGTTCTGGATGTCGTCCGACATCTGTGCCATAGTTAGCAGTTTCCTCTCCTTCGGTGTTCTGCACATGCGCGGCATTGCGGGCAAGGAAGGATGGCGTTGGCTGTTCATGGTGGAGTACGTATTCACGCGATGCACTCAGCTTTCATTTGCTCATCATCATGCAGGGGTCTCATTACTCTGACCATCGGCGTAGCGACATTCTTCATGATGCCTCCATCGCCCAGCCAGACACGCACTTGGTTCAGACCCAATGGCTGGTTCAGTGAACGCGAGGAGTATATCGTCGTTAGTCGTGTACTGCGAGACGACCCCACCAAGGTGTGTGCACTTGTTGTAGAAAGTTGTGCGCGACTGACCACCGTATAGGGGGATATGCACAACCGCGAGGGCTTGACGTTGAAGAGGCTCTGGCAAGCGGCGACTGATTACGACCTTTGGCCGGTATACATCTTGTACGCCTCACTTTCACCTATTCCACCACATCCCTCTCATGGTGTCGCATAGGGGTCTGACGTTCGGCATACCCGTTTCGTCTCCGAGCACCTATCTGACGCTCTCGCTCAAAAACCTCGGATTTGGTACCTTCAACATCAACCTGCTTACGATTCCTGAGCAAGTGGCCAGCATCTTCACGAACCTCGGTATATCGCTCATCTCGGAGTTCGTCAACGAGCGATCCTTTGTTGCGATGGCGCAGGACTTATGGTCGCTCCCTTTCCTCGTCGGCATCTATTGCCTCCCCGCCAATCCCAACCCGTGGATCTACTACGGCCTTGCAACGGCCTTGCTGTCGTACCCGTATACCCACCCCGTGAGTGTTCGAGCTTCGTGTGCTCTATATGAGCTTAACATGCGCTACAGATTCAAGTGGCTTGGTGCTCACGCAACGCCGGCGCTGTCGCAAGTCGCACTGTGAACGCTTCGCTGTATAACATGTACGGAGGCTGACCTTCTCAGCGATATGTCCTTTCTCATACGTGTCACGCAGGTTTGTACAAGCGAGCGGCGTCATCTCCTCGCAAATCTACAGAAAAGACGATGCTCCTCGCTGTGCGTCCATCTGCCTACTCTTCAATGAAGTATCTTCGCTCATCCTTGTCCTTCACAGACCGTCGGGGTAATCGCGTGCTCATCACCATTGCCGTGATCAACATCGTAGTTCTCTATCCGGGAACGAAGGTATACTACATCTGGCGCAACAAGCAGCGCGCTAAGATCTGGGACGCGATGACTCCTGAGGTCAGTACTGTATGCGTATACTCTGTCGAACGACACTGACATTCACCTTAGGAACGCTCCGAGTATCTGGCTACTACGAAGGATGTTGGGAACCGTAGGTTGGACTTCCGCTTCGCTCATTAGACGCCCCCATATACTGCCTTCTGTTTCTGTACGACTGTGACGCTCCTGTATGACACATCATCGCATGTCTGTATACCGCTCGATTATAGAACTTCTTTGATCTCCCAAGTTCATGAATGGCGTCTGCGCTCGCTGCGTTGACTGGAATATACCTCTTCTTTGAGTACACAAGCAACAGCACATCAGAAGAAACTCTAGAGTAGTGACTGTTCGTACGCGTGTCCTCAACTCCAGTGCAACACCTCCGTGTCCATGAGCGGGTTTGGCTACATTGTCCGCGTATACAGCAGTAAGACGGGAACGAGGGGATATTTCCTGTGCCTGGCAGCCCTTTGAGGAAACTTGCGAACTATGCGCATCGGCCGATGCCAATACGTCGGATTACTGGCTGAGCTGCACGGACATTGCTCCGACTAAGAAACTCACGTGGGCGCGACGGCCTCAATGTGCCTGGGCGCGGCCGCTGGCAACGCGCTCAGCCGTCGGCGAGCTCCTTGATCTTTGACCTCTACCTGATGGCGAAATCGCACGCAGAAGCTTGGGCAGACTATTGTGTGCTTGTATTGGGCATACGCCAGGCAACATACGCTCATTGCATGTCTACTAAACTTCTTCGTATTCTGTCCGATCGGACGTACAACTGCTTCACGGCTCAACGCCGTGGATATATTCGAGTAATCAACTCCGGGACGGCCGAAGCACGGTGAGGTTCTACTCAGATGTAGTTTCCGTCTCTTCGCCCTCAGCGCATCAGCACCGCTCGAGTAAAGATATATCCGTATAGCAAGCGACTCCAGACTGCGCCCCGCGAGGTACCAATGCACTATACCGTACCCGATGTGGGTCAGCCTGGTCACCGGTGCCAAGGGGCTCGCACGTCAAAGCGCTGGAGGATAGCGCAAGAGCGTCTTCGACTCGCGTCGCGTTTGCGAGCTTGCTGTGTTGTACGGGTTTCGGCTTTTCGGCTGATAACATGACGCAGGGGTTTCCGCGATAAGGGTTGGCTCACAGTACTGGCTTCTTGCACGATCTCTATGTGCTATGTTGTGCTCGAGGTCGCGCCCTGGATCTATGCACAAGATCTTCAGATATAAAAGCGTAGCGAGCGCTTGCTCTCAGAAGCATCCTCACTTCTCGACATGGCATCTACTATCACTCAGACAGTCGCGGACACCGCCAACAACTTCTCCAGCTTGAAGCTGACAGGCGAGGGCGAGCCTCCCTCCAAGTCGACGGGCAACGAGTCAGCCACTGACCCTGTACGTCTCCCTGAACGTTGTATCAGCTCACAGCGCTGACACTGGCGAATAACAGGGCCCCAAGTACCCGCGCTACTACCCGGTGTTCCACAAGGAGGAGAAGTGGCCAGCCTTGGAGTACTTCGAGCACGTCGACGCAGGCTCCCGCGCCGACCCCGCCAAGCCCAACTTGCTCGCCGAAGGCGTCAAGGAGCATATCCTCAGCCCCTTCATCGGCAGCGAGCTCCGCGGTGTACAACTCTCCCAGCTTTCGCCTGCCGGTCTCGACGAGCTCGCACTCCACGTCGCGCAGCGCAAGGTCGTTGTTCTCCGCGACCAGGACTTCAAGGACATCGGGCCTGAGCGCCAGATTGAGATCGCCCAGCACTTCGGTCCTATCCACCGCCACCCCACGAGCGGAAACATCGAGGGCTTCCCGGAGTTCCATGTCGGTGCGTATCTGTAATCATACGTCAAGGAACGCGGGATTAAATTGTATACCATAGTGTATCGCGATGCGAGCCATAACCGTTTCTTCGATCTCCGCCAGCGCGACCGTATCAACCACACCAGCTGGCATTCGGACGTCGTAAGTCCCGCGGTCCTTCGCCCCCCGATGCTGATAGCTGACGATCTTACTAGTCCTACGAGAAGCAAACCCCCGGCACCACCCTCTTCTTCATCCTTGAGCAGCCCCCTCTCGGCGGTGACACGATCTTCGCGTCCCAGGTCGAGGCGTACAACCGTCTCTCCGACGAGTTCAAGAAGCGCCTCGAGGGTCTTCGTGCCGTTCACTCCGCGGTGGAGCAGGCCGATTTCTCTCGCAAGGAGGACGGTCCCGTGCGCCGCGAGCCGATTGAGACCGGTCAGTACTTTACCGCCGCCTTCGACGCCACACCGTGTCTAAATGATCGTCTTCCCATGCAGAGCACCCCTTGGTGCGCGTGCACCCCGTTACGGGTGAGAAAGCCCTGTACATCAACCAGGGCTTCACGCGCCGCATCGTGGGCTTCAAGGCCGAGGAGAGCGAGTACCTCCTCAAGTTCCTCTTCGACCACATCTCCAAGGGCGCGGACTTCCAGTGCGTAGTACTTCTCAGGTTTCCATATCACACATGGCTGATCCGCTTCTATCTTCGCAGGGTCCGCGCGCGCTACGAGCCCGGCACCGTCGTCCTTTGGGACAACCGCATCACCGTTCACTCGGCCACGCCCGACTTCGCTCGCGGTGAGCGCCGCCACGCCGTGCGCCTCACGCCGCAGGCTGAGAAGCCCATCCCCGCTACGGCTTAAGTTACGCACCTATCTATCGACTCGTGACTTATGAGGCTGTACATTTGCTGTTGTATCATTGATTGTGTAGTGTCCGAAATGGAATGGTCTTGTGTGTACAGTAACTTGATCGACGCCGGACGACTCTCGGCGTTCTCTGTACCCGATGGAGCCGAAGAAGTATGTGTGTGTATGTGCAGAAGAAAAAATATATACGAGTGCAGGTTGATCGGATGTCCTGCAGAGAATAGATATGGCACATCGAAGGATTACGGAACTTCTAGTAATGTAAAGCTATTCCAAAGGGTATAGGTGTGGGCGGTCCAATATACACGCAACATGGCCCGTTCATGACATGCGTACGCCCAAGCCGACAACCTCGAAAGCCGTGGGAGTAAGAAGCGAGGCGACGATAGCAATTCCAGCGTAGACGAAGACCTTCGTCAAGACTAGAAGAAATATTGGCATGAGTATGGGATATTGCAAAGGACAATCATGTGCCCACCATCGGCGTCGTAGTGCAACACCTTTTCGCGTTGCTCTTGCTGGGGTAGTTTGTAGAAATTGGAAACCTTCTCAGGCTGTCCGATGTCCCCGCTGGACCCATTGCCACGGCGCGTGACGGTACCGTCAGAATGCTTCTTGCCGTCCAATGCGCTAGCGATACCGGCAGCGTCTGCACCCTCCGCCGTGACACTTAGGCTCAAATCGAGCATGGATGGGATTGGGCGAAGGTTGTGCGGTGGGTGGTGGGCATATTCCGTCGCCGGCGTATAGTGACGGCGGTTCGGAAGTTCAAGCGGCCGTACGAAACGGGCCAGAAATCGGAAGAACGGAGGTAGCACGCTCTGTGCGGTGGGCTTTGCGATGAGACGCCACGCAAAGATGGCCAGGATCCCAGCCACAAGCTTGATCACGGCGAATAGCGTCCAGATAGCGTAGTCGCGCGGTGTATCGAGTTGGTATCCGGGGTGGAGTGTCACGAAGTTGACGGTGTTGAAGAATGGAACGTGCGCGTACGCCCATACCGAAAGCAAGATACCCAGGGCGACAGACATGAAAGCGATAGCGTCTTCGAAGCATGGGCAATCGTCAACAGGCTGAGGATGCTGGTTGACCATCAAGAGTATGACACCAAGTGTCGTCAGAGGTGCTGTCGAGGGACGTCAGATTGGACCTGAGCATGCGGCTTGATCAACCTACCCATCCAGCCCGAGGCTCGCAACCAGTCCTCGAGGATGGGCATGTACAAGATCTGTATGAGCCACATCCCCACTCCGAGTGTGAACCCCATGGTGCAGTCGACGAAGCCGTGCATGCCAAGATAGAGACGTCCGCCGATGATCGTGAAAACATAGAAGAGCAAAAATGCCCCGATGACGGAAAAGGCTGGTGTGGACAGTGTGCTGTCGACCCAAAGAGGATAAACGCGGGCGAGGAGGAAGAGTGCCATGGAAGTGCTGTTGGCTGTATGACTGGATGGGAAGCCGTATTCCAGATGGTGGGAACCGATCGCTACATGGCCATCGTCAGCGGGGAAAGCAATGGGATGTTAGAGATAGCGTACTAAGCCTAGTCACTGGAGGTGCGTACGGCCTTGGTGAACACGCAAAGTCCTTGAAGAAGGACGTGGCGTATACGCCCAGAGCCGACACATAGGTCAGACTATGCCGTAGTGTGAACGAGACTTGCCCCGCGGACTTCATAGAACACTCACCCTCTTCCTGTCGTGTCGTGACCGAAGTAGAAAAGAGAAGGCAAGAACAACATAAAGAACGTGTGTGTCCCAAGCATAGATGTCGTCAGAAAATAGCGGTCTAACCAGACATTCCGTAACTTGGCCTATGCATGCACAAACGACGTTTAATCAGGGAATGTGTGATTGGAGAACCAGCTGTCAGACATACCTGCCAACGCCCGAGAACGCGACTCTCCCATTCCACGCATCGCACGAGCCTCTTGCGGACAGCCAGTCGGATTGGCGGGAGCGCATTCTCATACGCCTCGTCCGGTAAGCAACCAGCCGGTACATGCGACCCCGCACCCTCGACATGCACCTCAGGCGCAATCTTTTCGATCAGCGTCTCCTGGGCATCGCCGTCTGTGGATGTATCCGTGTCCTCGTCGTAAAGGTCGGCGACGTCGATAGTATGTTGGAGCTTGGACGGGCTCATCCTCGCGGTCAAGAACAGAACGAAGGCCCCTCGAAATCAGCCTCGTTCAGACGTCAGACGCCTGACGACAATTCGAACAGTAATTCGGTCCATCACTCCGTCGGCACTCTCCGTCGGCCATCTCCGCATCTAATCTCTCTGATTGCCGCCCATCTTCGGCGTTCACTCAGGCGCAACTTGATCTCTGGATTGTACCGCCATGAACTGTCTACCGCCCTCCGCGCAGCGACAAACGTTCAATGGTTGACATCGAGGACGAGGCGCAGCATGCATGCAAAAGTCACCTCATCATAACTATGGACCTATATGGATACTGGCGCGGCCTGTACGGGTTCGCTCTCGGCCCTGCTCGTTACCACGGCGACCGAGAGCGTACCTCTGCTCCGGCTCTCATGCTCGCAAGCACTTGACAGCGCGCCTTCCACGATGGCAGTACACTCCGCATCCGCTCATCGCCTCGCCTAAAACGCGTTTGCAGGTTAGGTGCTTATCGAAGTTTCGTTGTCGCCGCAGTCCCAGCGCGACGCATGCGGATGCGACACGCCCGTGAACATCATCCCAATCTCAGGGCAGCGGTCCCCGTTTGTTCTCATCCAACTTCGGTTATGGCGCTTAGCGCCGGGGTATATATGGCTTCCGTCGAGGCCTTGCGTTACCTTTGGCCTCGCCTTGTTTGCCTTCGCACATCCGTTCTTTTTTACTTTCGCTTTCCGTTTCGCTTTCTCGGTATCCTCTGGGAGGGTTTACGCAGACACCGCTCTTTACATCTGCGTTCTTTGCTTTCAGCGCCCGCACTCGTATTTTCTTCTTTGCCGGGCGCAATCCCCTATTACTTGACCGATCATGGCATCCACTATACCTTCAGCGACTGCCATTGTGGCAAGTACAGCTGTGCCCATGGCTGGCATATCGTACGTTCTTCAACGCAGTTGAACTAAAGTACGTGGTACTGATTGATGATCAAGTTCGTCTCAAGAAGCAGGTATCATCGCGGGTGGTGTCATCGGGGCCATTCTTCTCTTCGCCCTGGCGGGCTTCGCTCTCTATAGGTTTGAACGTCGTGCCCGAAGTCGACGCTTCAGCGCATCGTCGGATACACTTGTAGAGAAAGAGAGAGGCAAGGAGCAGGATTCGCCGGTGAGTTTTATGCGGACTCGGGTATCTCCAGTGTCGCTCATCGTACACACAGTCCAAGAAGAGCCCTTCCATTCCTCCTCTCACTCCGATCGGAGAGATGACCATGGCGCCCAAACCCAAACAAGCCGACAGCGACGCGTCCCAAGGCCCGATATCCGAACTGCCATCCATCTTACGCCGACCTGATCCCGCGTTTGCTTCGGACCAGATCAATCCTCTTCGCCGTGGATTGACGCTTCGGTTCCGTGACGATACCATCCGCCCTCCGCCACCCGGCCCTTTGCGACTCGTCGGCTCTCCAGCCACCGACAGTAGTACTAGCCCTGCGCCCTGGCAGTCGGCTCCCGACTCTAGCCCCCCTTCGCGCAGATCAGTCTCAATAACGGAAATCTCATCCCCGATATACAGTGGACTTCCACCGCGGCCCACAACATATCTTTCACCTGCTCAGTCGCCCGCTGCGTCTCGAACTCAGTCGCCTGCTGCACCCAGAACCCAGCTGCCCGCTGTATCTCGAGCTTTGTCTCCTATCGGCTCTGATGTGCTACCACTGCGTTCAGCTCCTCCGACCGCGTTCGGATTCGCCAAGGACCCATTCAAGACGCCGACAAGCTCGGAAGACGGACATGGGCGTCGATCTCTGGATTCCATACCCGAGCGAATGGCCCCGTCACCGGCGTCTTCTACGCCCATGCTATTGCGCTCCGTCAGCACTTATACCAGCCCGACGCCCAATAACCGCATGCTCTCTCCAACTCCGGCGTCGCGCACGCTCTCGCCCACCCCAGCGTCACGTACGCTATCTCCGACTCCCATGTCCCGCACCACGTCGCAGATGCCGATCTCCCGAAACGTCTCCCTGCGCCGTGTGCCGTCATCAGGCCGCCCAGGGCTTCCATCAACGCCGCGTCCTACAGTCGCCATCCCTCCCCCCGTCCCCACAGACATGCCCCCGATGCCTAACACACGGCCCCTCTCGTCAGCGAACAACTTGCGGAGCCTCGAGACGCCCGTGTACCCCTCGCAGTTTTCTCCAGTGGATGGCGACGATCTTGACGAGCCACGCTACTTCACGGTTGACATGGGCAACGGGCCGACTTTGGCGCGGACGATGAGCGCGCGCGAGCTACATCGCGCACAGACTGCGCGTGCTGCGCCTATGCTGTGGCGGCACCCCACCGCTCGCGTACCGGGCACCGCAGTGGACATGGTCTAAACGTGGACTTCTCACGGGTCGGAAGATGGGTTTATTGGTATCGCGCATACAGGATATGCTTCTGGCCTAGTGCCCTATGGTACGTTATCCACGGACTGTGCCCGATTGCTCGCATAGGACACTGCTTCTGTTCGGATGTACGTTGGCAAACCCATACTCTCCCCAATGCTCGTGAAGAAGTGCAAAGATCAAGAATGTACTAGCTGTGCATGGCTCGAAGATGTATAATATAGTATTGACTACTTATGCACCAGCCCTACTGGGCTATGATCTCTTCAAGAGGAGAACTCCTTGAAGTACGCCATCACGTCCCTTGTCATGTTATGAAGGCTGTTGTACTCCATCCCAAGGATCTTTCCTGCCTTCGCCGTGTTGTAGTTGACCACAGACCTCTTGCCCTTAGTGGCACCGTATAGGCCCTTGACCGCAGGCTCGTCGCCATTGTCAACAGCCGCATCGACTACAGCAACACTCGGCTCAGCATCACATCGGGGAGCATCATCCCATCGTCACGTACCGACATCTTGCCAGAAGAACGCGCCCGCGCTGATGATGATGCGATTGCCGCCCGCCTCAGCCACCTGCGCAGCCAACGCGTGAGCGCGAGCAACGTCGCGTACATCGATCCACGACCCTGCTGGTGCTGCCAGAGCCTCGGTATCCTTCGCACCCTTCACGAGTGTGTCATACATTGTCTGCATGGATGTGTTGAGTGCTGATAGCGAGGAGACTTCGTGGATCGGTGGCTACAAATAGTCTTTCAGTGAGTAGCACAAGTCCCGAGCGCAGTTACGCTAGATGCTCACGCCGAATACGAACGGCGGGTTCAGGACAACAAGATCCCATGAAGGGTTATGCGTCTTTACAAACTCCCAGGCCGCCTTCTCCGCCATAGTCTTGCTCGCGCGGTAGACGAATGCCGCTGCAGTGGCATCCCCTTTCGCCTTGACTTCTTCTATAGCGTGCTCATCCCAGCTGTATTCATCGAATACGGTGTAGCTCGGTACCGGGTACTGCACCGCCGCTGTCGATGAGGTTATAACCACACGGCGTACAGAGGATCTTGTCAGGAGCAACATCGTGTAAGTTGTCTCGTCTCGGATGTTGCCAATGTCCGATCAAAACAAGACCTACCCAGACTTCTTGATAGATTCCAGTATGCCTGTTGTTCCCCGGACAGCAGGATCGATGAGATCGCTGGGTGTCTTCCCGTTCATGTGAAAGGGGCTCGCAGTATGCTCTACAAGATCCACATCTTTGACGACTTCGTCGAAGGCGCCTGGCTATGAAGAGCCGATCAGCCAGATGATCTCGCCACATCTGATAAGATAACGATAAGCTCGCGGACCTGAGTAATATCCTCGACAACGGCGATACCGAACTTGTCGCCGTAAGACGCGAAGATCTTCTTCAGATGTTCGCCTTTGCTAGCTGAGCGCACAGTGCCTAGAACAGAATAGCCCTGTTCAAGAAGGGTGCGCACTACCCACGCCGCGATGTAGCCGTTGGCGCCGGTGACAAGAGCTTTAGCGGGAGCGGGCACGGGAGACATGACAGAGGAGCGCGAGATGCGAGAGTGAGGTGCAATGATTAGTAAGTTAGGTTGAGGAAGCACAAGTCCGCTTTCCGTCCTACTTATCTGGATGGATTGAGTGGCACCATCCACTCGATCCCCGAACCGATCCACCGCAAAACTTGAACCTCATTTGGAACTCAATGTCCCACACTGAAGCCATGTCCACGGCAGAGTTGGGGAAACGCTGATCTTCAACCAGGATCAAGTCTGAACTGTGGTTCGGACACAAGGTCTGTATCCTTGGAGAGCTGGCAGTAACGTACTGTGCCAGGCGCCTCCAAGAAGATACTCAAGATGACTACCCTTGCGAACTAATGAGCTGGCTTGAGTTCTCAGATACACCGGATCCGACAGCCCCACGAGAAGTGACGAGGAGTAGCTTCATATGAACATAAACCCAAAGAAAGTACAAGAGAAATAGTAGATGATCTACAAGCCTGATCTTTCCGATAGAGATGTGCTTCAACGGATCATTTACGAGGGAGGGCTGCAAGAAAGTATCGTCAGCATGTATGCAACACGATGGCGCAGTTGAGAAGAACGTACACGGGGGCAACAGAGGTTACCGGGCCGGGGTCGGTCTTGAGTGTGGGGAATGCGGAGGTGGCGCATGCCTGCTCAACATCGGCGTTGGAAAGGCCAGCGGGGAAGGTCGCCGATGAGGTGAAAGTCTTGGGAACGGGGATGACGTCCGAGCAGTCGACCATGTTGCTGGTGTCCTGACCGAGCACTGCGAGCTTGGCCATCGCGGCGGCGAACGAGGTCATCATGTGCTGCTGGTTGTTGACGTTCGCCTGCCAGAGGCATGCAGTGCGCGAGTCGCGAGCGAGCTCAGAGTCGGACTGCAGACGAATCTCGCCGTGCAACGGGGACTCGACCTCACCCTGGTTCGCGCCGTTACCAGGGAAGAGCGTGCCGCGGAGCTGGGTCTCGACGAAGAACTGGGTGTCGAAGGTGAACGGCGTGCTGTCGAAGGGAGTTCCGGGAATGGTCGGGTCGACGAGGTCAGCGGCTGCGACAGTGTGTGAAGCGAGGAGAGCGACGACTTCGGCGGGGGTGAAGCCGCCAGCGTCATCAAAGCGAGCGAGAATGCTGTCGACGGTGTCAAAGGGCTCGGGAACGGTCAAGTCCTGTGCGGGTGCAGTGGCGTTCTTGCGACCGAGGAGGAACTGAAGACGAGGAGCGCCGGGACAGTTGGAGACACCGACCGCGCCCGCGAACTGGATGAAGTCGCCGACGGAGATTTCCGGGTGCGCCTGGACGAAGGGCGTCTGGGCGTCTACAATGTCGTCGATACCGCCGTTTGCGTGGAAGTTTGTCTCAGTCGATGCAAAGATGATCATGGATCCGTCTGCGCCGGTGCTGCTGATGCGTTAATAGGAGTGTGTGGTTCAGGCAAGATTGTCATACCCCACGGCTGGATTGTTCTGGGAGACACCAATCGCGTCGTGGAAGGTCAGACGGAGTGACTCGTGAACCTCTTCGCCACATTCGCCACCGTCGAAAAGGTTCGTCTGAATGTCCTCGAGGATGGGGAAGAGCACGCAGCACGCCTCGTTGGCGGTGATGTTGCCGTCGGCGCAGGTTACGCGCTTAGTGACGGCGGCTATTGACTTCATCAGCCGAAAATTTGATTGGTAGATGGAGAGGTACTCACCATTCGCAACAGTAGCGAGAGCGACGATTGAAGCAAGCTTGGCAAAGGACATGGCCGATATGTGAAGAAGACCGGTGGATAGAAGTAGGCGACGAAGACCGTTGAAGCCTGGCTCTGCTCGTCTTGACGTTACCAGCCTTTATACTAACCGCATGTAGCATGTTACAAGTCGACTACGAATCTGCGAGGTGACTGGCAAACGACTGTGTGAATGAGGCCGCCTGCAAAAAGAAACCCGAAGCCGAGCGGCAGGGACTTGCGACCAATGACTTTGAGGGCATTCCCCTTGTACGGGGAGCCAATCCGCGGCTGTTCCATTGCAGCGACCCCTTTACCCAGAGCAGCGGACTAGGGAGAGGCAGAACAACCATTTGTGCCATCGTGAGGCGAGAGCGTCGTGGGTAGCTGTGAGGGCGTCGCGCGGTCATGAGAGGTTAAAACGCGCGGTCGCACAAGCGCGGAGCAAAATGCAACAACGCGCCCGTATATTCCGACGGATGTCCACTAGCATCATCCCATTCAGCTCAACATCATCGCACGGGTTCGAAAAGGCATCTAAAGATAGTTGAAGGCGTTAGATCCGCCTATGCCGAGCATCGGCAAGGGGGAAAGGGTCGGACAACTTCACACCAGTGGCCAACAAGTTGCAAGAACTGGACCGCTCTGCATACAGCCCCGTTCGAGATAAATCCCCCTAGCAATGGACCAGATGTCATTGAGATGTTGACGAGCTGCGTTCACTGCACAGTGTCTTATCAACGCGCTGGAAGCTTGACGGTGCAGAGTGCATCGGGAAAGGACCCTACCAATCATAGCGTCGTCATCGTCGAGGGCTGGCGCTCTCCGAGGGACCTTGACAATCCGTCCGACCGTGTAGACACTCAGTGCGAACAGCTCGATGAGTAACAGCGCGCGAGATACAGAGCTTCTGCTACGGAACTATCAATCCCAGTTTGGTATGAACTTTTGGAATCCAACAGGTTCAACATACACGTCCCTGAGTCCGTGAGCATGTCAAGAGCAGTCCGTGAGAGCATATGTGCCTAGACACCAATACGCCCCAAATGAGTCTGCTCGCCGTGATGTCGTCTCTCGATGCACTGAGTCGAGCACAAAAGTCGATTCAATGTTCGTACTTCAAGTTTGTCATGGCAAGAGCAAAGTTCCAGGAATCGCGAGACGGCGTGGGGCGCCACGGATCAAACACGACTGATCCGGCGTCAACTTCCCGCGCTTTCCGAGTTTGTCGGGATCGCAATACTGCCTGAGCGACTTGCTTTCTTCCACCAAGCACTTCAGCTGGACTCTGACGTGTCACTAGTCACTCCCAATCGCGCAAGCATAACGCTTTGAACTGAACACCGGTGGAATATACAGAATAAAATGAAACAGCCGATCAAACACCGAGGTGCACGAACGGTATCCAACGCATGAAGTTACTCTCCCCAATATTCTCTCGCAGGACCCTCGTCGCCTCGTTCAGCGCATATGCTGCACCTGTCTCGCCCTTTCCTTGTTTTCCGGAGCTGCGGATCTCGGTGAGCTTCCGATAGAAGGCTTCGACGACGACTGGGGCGTCATCGTCCACGATGGACCACGTCGTCCCGATGACGGCCTTGAAGCCGACAGCGAGCATACCCGCGGCGAGATGCGCTGACTCTTCGGGGTTCCTCAAATGGCCGAACGCGGTCTGGCATGCTGAAAGGAAGGCCAACTCTGCGTTGTCGGACATGGTGCCCATCAGCGCAGAGAGTGACAGGCGACCGTCATGTAGCATGAAGGCGCTCTGCGTCGGGTCGCCCATGGCTTCCTGAAGACCGTGACACGATAGGTGAACCCAAGAATGCCGCGGCATGGCCTCCTGGACGGAGCAGACGGTCGCTTGCTCATCATCGAGAACTACCCTCTGGATTGAGGACTGATTCAGAGCCTCCGAGATCGCATCGCGTTCTGCTATCGTCCCTGGTAAGGGGCTTTGTCCGGGTGTTGCCGGCTGTGTGACCAGGAGCATCGTAGGAATCTGGCCAGTGTGCTGTGCCAGACCATTGGCGCAGCGCAAGAGTGCGGTGAGGGATGGAATGTATGACGATGCTACAACGTCAAATACGCGCGGGCCTGATGGATCCCTATACAGCCCGGCCGCGTGTAAGGGAAGGTAGGCGAGCGGCCCCGTGGGACACCAAGTGATGTGAGGTAGACGCTTGTTCCTTGACTGTATGGGTTGGTAAGTTGATGTATGCGCTGTATCAAGATTCACATACAGAAGTCGACAAATTCAGAGATTCACATACAGAAGTCGACAAATTCAGAGATTCAAAAATAGGGTGTACGAGCCACGTCCAGAGACGCTCGAGCACAGTCATCGGTAAAGTCGAAGGACCTTGTTTCCGAAATGACGGCCCTGCTAAGCCACGCTCACGCCCTATACCATCCATGAAGAAAGATGTCCACACGCGGGCCAATGTTGTAGTCTTTTTGAGGGAGAGATCAGGGAGATGAACTGATGTAGGAGCTCCGTCGGGATGCAGAATCAACGCGTCGCAACGGCGCTTGTCCACGTTGATGAACACAACCGGACCGTCCGAGTGCGCGTGCGAAGCCATAAGCTGGTCGAATGAAAGCGGTAGAAGGAAGCTGCTGAACCCAGGGCATCCTCGAATCTCCTTCAACAGCTTCTCGTGCTCGATGACGAGCTTACGATGATCAACCGCGGCAGGGTTGACTGCAAGAGCTACAGCGACGCCCGGCCTCTCGACGCCAAGCGTGAGATCGCTATTGGCGGACATTTGCAGGTGCTCCTGAATGCTACGCAGAGAGTCGGCTAGCTTGGGGCATACGCTGTACAACTCGTCGAGCGGGGTCCTCAGCGACGAGACCTGGGCCCATATGAGCGCCCTGCCTGCCTCTAGCCACTCCACGGCCAGGGTCAGAGCTCCAGAAGAGACAGCGGCAGCCACCGCAGCGTTGACAAGTTCGCCTATCTGTGACGATTCTTCATAGCGTCGACGGATATCGTGTCCTAGCCACACGATCTCAGGAAGAATAGTGATGATGCGTGAATGCGCGGACAGAAGTGCATCCACGCTCGTGAGCGAAGGGTTCTCCGATAGCAGCATAACGCATCGCTTGGCAGAGAGGAAGCGCATTGTCGGTCTGCCAGATGTGCATATAGTCGCTTGTAGATGAGACTCCACGGCGGCCTCGAAGTCGGCCGCCAACCGAGTGCGATTAAAAAGGTAATGTTGCGCTTTCCCTAGGTTCGTTTGTACCGCAGATATCCGTGGGTCGCCATCAGCAACCATCTCCAAGGACCTTTTGAGCAGCGTGATTGCCGTCTGGATATTGTCCAGAGAGCCCGTGAGCTCAAAGCGCTGCATGAAACAGACACCAAGAATGCTATAACACACGGACAAATCCGGACCTGAGCGTTCAGAAGCTGTTTCGAGAGCTACATATGCAGCCGAGATGGCGTCCTCGATGTCAACCATCTTATGACCGATCTCGAATCGACGACCAAGCTCTTGACAAAGGTTGATCAACCTTGTCAGCTTGCGCGGATGATCATCCGGGGTTAAGTTAACGGCGCGTCCATACGCAGAGATAGCCTGCTCAAGATCCACAGGATCTTTGGAGCGGTCTGAAAGCGAAGACAATGCATTCCCCAGGTTATTCAGCCGTGACGGCTTACTAGGATGGTCGGCCGGCGTGAGCTCGGCCGATTGACGATGCGCGGAGATTGCTTTCTCGAGATCCTCGACGTCTCCTGTCTGTTCGAAGCGCTTATGCAAAGAAAGACCGAGGTTACTGAATGACGCGGCCCTGTCGGGATCTCCGTCAAATGTAAGCTGGACGGCTTTACGATGCGCCACGATCGCCTGCTCAAGGTCCAAGAGGTCTCCGGAGTGCTCAAAGCGGGTGAGCAGTGAGTTTCCTAGGTGACTCGAGTATGATGCCTTCTTGGGATGGCTATCCGGTGCGAGCTCGTTTACGCGGCGAAGCAGCGACAATGACTGCTCGAGATCTTCGAGTTCTCCGCTGCTTCGAAAGCGCTCAAGCAACGAACTGCCTAGGCTGTTTAACAGTAGGGGCATGTCGGGGCGATCATCTGATGCCAGTTCTACTGCGAGACGTTGCAGCGCAATAGCTTGCTCGAGATCTTGAACCTCTCCTCTACGTTTGAAGCGATCGAGCATTGCCCGGCTCAGATTATGCAAAAGTAACGGCTTGTTTTGGTCATCGTCGGACAGAAGCTCTGTGGCCAGTTGATGCGTTGAGATGGCTTCCTCAAGGTCCTCAGGGGCGCCGGTACGATCAAAGCGCGTCTGCAACAGAACACCAAGAGTATTGAGTCGTGATAACAGGTCGTGTTGAGAGCGTGACTCCAGATCGCCTTCTTGAAGACGATGCACTGCGATGGCCCGCTCGAGATCATCGAGATCATCGCTGTGGTGGAAGCGAATGAGGATTGACTTGCGCAAGTCACCGAGATACAGAGCCCGGTTAGGATGCCCATCGGGAGTGAGCGCGACCGCGCGCTGATACGAAGCGACGGCTTGCTCCAGAGCCTCGGATCCTTTGGAGTGTTCGAAGGACATGAGTAGCGTGTCACCCAGGCGATTGAGACTAGATGCCTTGGCGGGGTCGATGTCTGCGAGGAGCTCGGCGGCGATGGTATGAGCGGAGACAGCCTGCTCAATGTCCTCGCTCTGTCTGCTGTGCTTGAAGCGCATGAGAAGGCAAGCGCCCAAGTTTCCGAGGTAGGACGGTTTCGACGAATGCCCATCTGGTGTGAACTCGATCACGCGTTGATGGATCGTGATGGCGCGTTCGAGGCTTTCGGTGTCGCTGGTATGTTCGAAGCGCAACTGCAACATCCTGCCCAGTTCACTCCATGACGAGGGGCTATGACGATCCTTGCACGCTTCGAGCTGAACCACGCGGTCAAACGCTGATATGGCTTCCTCGATGTTGTTGATGTCTTTGTTGTGCTCGAAGCGAAGGCTGAACACCCGACCCAAGGTATCCAGAGGCTTATCCTGACCATCCTTGGACGAGTACTGGACTGCGTGGCGAAGAGCGGAGGTGGCTTGTTCAAGGTCGTCGAATTTCCTGATGCGCTTGTATCGCGTGATGTATTGAATGCCCAGGGCATGATAGCGTGATGCCTTGATAGGATGCTCATCAGGCGTAAGCTCAGCGGAGCGGCGATACGCCGGGATAGCTTGGTCGAGGTCCTGAACGCTCCCGGTACTCTCAAATCGTGTAAACCATGCACTGCCCACTTTGTGCTGCCACGACGCTTCAGCTTCGTCGTCTGGCCTCGCCTCGTCGACTGCGCTTAAATGCATCGAGAAAGCATAATCGAGGTCTTCCGACTTGCCGGTGTGTGGGAATTGCATGAGGAGCAGATTGCTGAGCTTGTGGGACAACATCACCATCTGTGGATGACCGTCCGGCATGAGTCCGATCGCGTCTGAGTATGTGGAGATAGCCAGTGATAAGTCCTCGGGGTCCTTCGTACGGCCATAGCGAACAATGAAAGAGCGCCCCAGGCTCTCGTAGATGGATAGCACACCAAGACCTCCGTCCTGGGCGCTCTCTACGGCACAACGATACCACGAGACGGCTTGTGCGAGGTCATCGAGACTACCGGCAATTTCAAAGCGCGCGTAGAATGAATTGCCGAGGTGATGAAGCAGTGACGCCTTGTCTCGATAGTCGTCTGGCATGAGGGCGACGGCCGACTCATGCACTGAGATGGCCTCCCTGAAGATCTCGGGATCCTGAGTATGCTGGGAGAGTGTAACGAGGGAGTTCCCGAAATTGCTGAGTTTTGATGGCTTGCGGGGATCATCGTCCGGGGTGAGACGCACGGCGGCGCGAAGCACTTCGATGGAGTGCTTGAGGTCAACGACGTCGCCGAGCATTGCGAAGCGTTGTCTCAGAGAAATACCATAGTTGTTGAGGACGTCACTTTTGTCCGAGTCGCTATCCGGCATAAGCTCCGCTGCGCAACACAAGGCGGTCGTAGCGCCGTGAAGGTCATCGAGCGAGTCGACCCGGTTACAACGCTCTAACAAGGAGCCACCCAACCGAAAGAGACGCTTTGCCTGACTCGGATCCCCGTCGCTGGTGAGTTCGGCGGCGGACTCGAATGCCGCGATCGCACGATTGAGGTCGTCGAGAGCTCCGACGAAGGCATAACGAGCTGAAAGGCGGTCGCCGAGGTTGAAGACGAGCGGCGCTTGCTCGTCAGGGTCCTCGAAGTCCTCAATAGTCACGGCGAATTGCGTAGCCTGGATAGCCTTGTTGAGGAAGAGCCCATCCGAACGGTTTGGGTCACCCCGGTACATCGTCCATAGATAGTCACCGAGTTCCCGAGGGCCATCAAGAGGGATCGGGGCAGACTTGATTAGAAACATGATAGTCGCCATATCCCGCTCGAAGGCAGTTGAAGTCAACGAGTCATCACGATCATCGTCCTGATCGATAACAAGCGTACATCGTTAGCCACTCATCTAAAGCAACTTTTGTAGAGATACACACCATGATGAGGGATATAGAACAGCACAACGAGGTGGTTTATTGTACGGCTAAGTAGGGAGAACGCAAAGAGGGAGTCGGAGAGGAGGATTGATTAAGTACTGAGTATTGTAGGACACAGCATTGCTGATGGTCGATAGTGCATTGTATGGATGCGCGCCAGCAGTCGTCTGATGGGCGCATGCGGCGTGCGAAATGTCCGATAGAATTATTCCTGAAAGGGTCAGTGCTGGCTAGGGGGTTATTCTTAGGCTTCCTTAGGGCTTGCGGATATAAGCGCCGGCATTATCTAGGACGCTGGAATGCACAAGGCAGAACGGCCTACCATCGCGCGCTAAAAATGGGATTCAAGGGGCATAGCATTGGATATTGCGTAGACGCAATCACCAGTCGTGATAGGAGCGGGGTCGCATATGCCAGCACCCTGAGACGAGGCAGTCTTTGGGCGCAAGGATAATACTTGGTACGAAGTAACATGGGTGTCATATACGGCCTGAATCACGGTGATCCCATGGCTTGATGCGACCTTGTTTCCTGTTCAAGAGCGTGAGATGAGCAAACCAACGAGTGAACTGATGGTCGTCGAGAACGCACTATAACCACACCAACCTCACTCCTCGTCCTACACGCCATCTCCCTTATTGCGGTCGGCCAGCTCAAGCGTTGTTGTGACCAGACTGGACGTCATCTGGCCCTCACGGTAGTCTTGGGCTAAGCATTTGCTGCTGGACGAGTTAAGTAGAGGCATGGCGTGAGGGGAACAAACGGCGCACTGATTCTACAGCGATTGCCCCGCGTCATAATCGAGTGGCCTAGCGGACGCGTCCTGACGATTCGCAACCGTCAACATCACGAAACTGAGGAACAAGAAGGATACATAACGTACCTTACAACTCGCTCTATCTACGAAAATATCAAACGCGCGCACGCCTGGAGCGAGGTTTCGCGGAGTGCGCAACGACTCAGTTTCTGGATATAATCGCGTGAACACATGGCTCGGCGAGTACAAAGACAGAGCGACCGACCTTGGCGATACTCACGTCAATAGTCATCGGACCTCTTCCATGTGACACAAACACTTTGGATGCAATGTCTGCCCTAGTATTCATCTTATGAGTACACTACCCGGCAACATCATCTCGAGCACAACGCACCTGGACCGAGCAGAGGACCAATGTTCTTCGCCCAGTGAGAGGCGACCTGCCGGCATCCGTGCCCTCTAACTCATCTGAGAGTGGGGTAATGTCGTCATTCACGAGGAGTTCGCGCCAGCAAACGCGACATGTATACTGCAGATAGTGTTGGAAAGAACCCAGGCCCAAGCTCCCAAGACGCGAGAGACAAGAGTGACTCGGCCCGGAGTGAGCCGACGCGTCATTACCATTCAGCGCGGGTTGCCTCCTCCCATCTTTTGCCGCTTGTTTCGCGACGATTCGTTCCAGCTATCTACTTCATTGGCTGATAAAGATATACACAGTGAATTAGAACGGCATCAGTTCATACCCTTCTCACTCAGCACCCCATAGAATTACACATGTATACAAGACAAGCCGGAAAACCATGGCATATGGGCAGCATAGCCTGACGGACCACATGCAAACTAAAGAGCTACGGTCAGGGTACATGCTTCCAAACAATGCAAATATCTTCATCAAACGCCGAAATGTACGAACGGGACCCATCTCATAAATTCCTTCTTTCCCGCCTTTTCGCGCAAGACCCTCGTCGCCTCATGCAGCGCATACGCCGCTCCCGTCTCCCCCTTCCCGAGAGTTCCACTGCCTCTCAGCTGCAACAGCTCCTTGTAGTACGCGTCGACCACGACGGGTGCGTCCGCATCCATGATCGACCACATGGTCGCGATGACACCCTTGTACCCGACCGCGAGCATTCCCGCCGCGAGATGCGCGGACTCCTCTGGCGTCTTTGCATCGCCTACGGCGGTCTGACAAGCCGAGAGGAATGCGAGCTCTGCGACGTCGGTAGTAGCTCCCATGAGGTTCGCGAGGGTCATTGGGCCGTCGTAAAGATGAAACGCGCTTTGCGTGGCGTCCTTCAGATTCTGCGAACCGTGGCAGGCAAGGTGGACCCAGGGATACTGATCCATCGCCGCTCGGGTCGATGCGATCGTCGCTTTGCGATGTTCGAATATGCTACTGGAGATGTGCGCCTTATCAAGCACATTTTGAAGGCAGCGACCCTCAGTCCGAGTGCCGGGAAGCGGAGATAGGCCAGGTGTTGCCGGTTGTGTTACAATAAGCACTGAAGGGGTGGGTTGCCGCTTCACCACGCCTTCGGCACATCGCTTCGCTGCTGTCAGGGAAGGTGTATACGACGACACGACGAAGTCGAATGCGCGCGGTCCGAGAGGATCGCTATATATGCCTGCGGCATGGAGAGGAAGTTGCGTAAGCGGTCCAGTGGGGCACCATGTGATATGTGGCATGGAATTGGCGAATGCCTAGGCGAGTGTCAGTCTGTGCTTGCGATTGACTGGGAGTGTCTTACCAAGTTCGCAAGGTCAATGAATTGCAGGATTGGACCCACGATCCACCTCCAAATACATTCCAAGACGCGGGTGAAGATGTCGACTTCATCATCGTCGAACACTAGAGCTGAATGCCGCTGAAGAGCCCATGCAACATCCGAAATTAACTCGAGCTCGTCCTCAGTCGGCAGGACGCCTGGCTCTGTGTTAAATCCGCGATGTCTATAGCCCGCGAGTCCTTTCGCCCACAGGGACTGTAATGAAATCGCGCGCTCCGACGACAGCTCGGGCAGTGATATCGACGCGACAGTTCCATCTGCATGAAGTATCAATGCATGTGAACGCGTGGAGAATGTGTTGATGAAGACGATTGGCCCGCTGAGGAGGTCTGGTGGGAGAACGAGCGCATCAAATTTCTTTGGAAGCAGGAAGTCCTCAAACCCAGGAGACCCGCGAATCTGCTTCAGCACTTTGTCATGATCAATAGCAGCCTTGCGATGGAGATCGGCTGCAGAGTTGACGCTGATGCCCGAGATACCCCCAAAGGTGTGTGTGTCCGGAATGAAGGTATCGTGGGACGACATCTGAAGTTTCTGCTGAACACTTCGGAGGGCTTCCGCGTGATACGGGTACGCATTCAGCAACTCGTCGAGTGGTGTACGCAGGGATAAGACCTGGGTCCAGATGAGCCCCCTTCCTGCCTCCAGCCATTCCACGGCTTGCTTTAACGCATTCGCATCAATCGCGGCGGAAACAGCGGCGTTGACCAGGTTCCCAACTTGTGACGATTCCTTATAACGTCTTTGAATGCCATGTCCGAGCCATACGACTTCAGGAAGAATGGCAATGATGCGCGAGTGAGCAGACATGAGCGAATCTGCTGTGCTGAATGATGGATTCTCATGCAACATGTCAGCGCATCGCCAAGCAGATCGAAGACGGGACGAAGGTTGCCCGGTGACTTGCACCGTTCCTTTCAAGAAGGACTCCAGAGCGTTATCGAAGTGAGCTTGAGTTTGACAGCCTTCGAAGAGGCGCATCTGTGCGCTTCCCAAGTTCCATAGCATCTCGGATAGACGTGACTGGCCGGTGGAAACGGTCTGTACTGCCTCTTGCAACAAAGAGATCGCGCTCTCGAGATCATCGCCCTGTCCCGTATGTTCAAAGCGACTGATCAAACAAAGCGCAAGATTATTGCGGTGAGAGGATAGATTCGAGTGTCCTGCATCCAATTCAATCGCCCTGTTTATTGCCGTGATGGCAGTGGTAAGATCAGATGTCTCTTGTAAGCGCTGGAATCGTTCGTGCAACCTTAGGCAGAGGTTACTCAAGTACATCGGCTTCTGGGGATGATCATCGGATACCAGGTCCACCGCACAACGTTGTGCAGATATTGCCTGCTCGAGATCGCTAGGATTTTCGGTAAGGTCTGAGCGTCTGGCAAGCGAGATAGCCAAGTTGTTAAGACGCATAGGCCGTTTGAGGTGCTCATCTGGCGTAAGTTGGATCGCGTAGAGATGGGCCGCGATGGCATGGTCAAGATCATCCAGCTCACCGATGCACTGGAAATGGGTGTGAAACGCGGCTCCCAAGTTGCTAACTAGTGAGGCCTTCCTGGGATGGCCGTCTGGTATGTCTTTTACCGCGCGTCGTAGGAATGAGATCGCCTGTTCAAGATCGTCGAGCTCTCCCGTCTGCTCAAAACGCCTATGAAGAGAACCACCCAGATTGGCGTGCCAGGAGGGCTTATCAGGGTGGCCGTCCGCAGTAAGATCAACTGCTGTGCGATAAGATGAAATGGCCTGATCGATATCTCCGCGTGCACCAAAATGCTCAAAACGCATGAAAAGTGAGTTTCCTAGACTGTTTATCAAGTGAGCCCTTCTAGGGTGTTCATCACGCGAGAGTTCGACAGCGCTTCGGTGGGACAAAACGGCTTGATCTATGTCATCGCGCTGTCCGGTACGCAAAAACCGCGCAACAAGTGAATCACCAAGGTTGTTTAGTCGTGAGGGCTTCACTACGTTGCTTTCGTCCGGGGTAATCTCGAGAGCACGGCGATGGACTGAGATGGCCTCGTCAACATCAATGATATCGCCAGTAGTTTCAAACCTCCGCGTCAACGAGTCGCCTAGATTCATCAGAAGTAACGACTTGAAAGTGTTGTCATCGGATGAGAGCTCGATCGCGCGACGAAACAATGAAATCGCTTGCTCAAGGTCGGAGAAATTCTCCAGGCGTACGAATCGCTTGGCGAAGGCATCGCCTAAATCACGCAAGTACGTGATCTTCCAAGGATCGTGATCTGGAGAAGACTTCACCAGACGATCGTAATATGCGATGGCCTTTTCAATGTCGTCGAGATCCTCCGCACTGCTCGAATTCCTGTCATGCAACGACTTTATGACATTAAGGAACTGTGAGGACCAGGTAGGGTCGTCATGAGATGTGAGTCTAATCGTGCGATATAGCGAGATAGCCTGTGACTCGATGTCATCCGGTTCTCCCGCACCATCCAAACGTACAAGCAAACCACCCAGCCTCGTCAGAAGCGTAGGTCTGAGAGGGTGGTCGACAGGCATGAGCTCAATAACTCCCCGCTGAGATAAGATAGCCCGCTCGAGATCCCTGACCTCCCCGGTCAGTTCAAATCGTGTCTCAAATGCATCACCCATAGCATGCAAAAACTCGATTCTATCAAGACTGCCTTTCGGAACAAGCTCGAGAGCGTTTTCAAATGCGATCAGTGCGCGATCTATATCTTCGGGCTCATGCATCCTTTCAAAACGGGTATTCAAAGATCCTCCATAGGAGCTGAGAGCATAGAGCTTGTCCGGGTGGTCATCGGACATCAGCTCAACAGCACAGCAGAAGGCTGTAACGGCATCTTCTAGCTCATGGATCTCGTCATTGAGCTCGAAGCGATCGAAACGACAAAGGCCCAGTCGGTAGACCAGCTCTGGCATGCGGGGGTCTTCATCAGATGAGACATCAATGGCACGCTGAAAAGCCCTGACGGCTTCATCGAGATCATCGAGCGAGTGATTAAGCGTCGAGCGGGCGCGAAGTCGAAGTCCTAGGTCGAAGAGAAGTTGAACCTGATCGCTCGACTCTTGATGGAGGCTGAGTGCTGTCTTTGCCGCGCTGATGGCCTCGTGCAGTAACGTGATATCCGGAGGCTGCGAGATGAAGCGAGCCCACATGAAATCCCCAAGCCTACGGGGAGAGTCGAGGACATCATCGCTCATTGTGAGACTTTCCAGATATGTGGCGAGAACATCCGTGTCCGGGTTAAAGGAGTCGGTCGCAGAGTCGTCGCTCTCCTGATACATCAAGTAAGTCTGCTATCTTTCAGAAACAGGGCTAGAGGTACATACCATGATGCGCTGTACTGTATGTACTAGTCGGTATTCTTGCTGGGGGAAAAGAGGGGGTGGTGGCGATAAGAACGGCACGGAGTCCCCGGCAGGTATTTCAATCGGAGTATATCAAGGCTGCGCAAGCCAATCGATGTATCATCTGCTTGGATAGGGACTAGTCTCCGCGCATGAGTATAACTGGTAGATGAACGACACGACTTGAACATGAGGCCTCGCTGCCCCTGTTGGCCCCACAAAAGTTGGGGTTACGAAGCGCACATCTGGATGGCCGCTGAGTCCTGACGACATAGTGAGGGCAGCGATGTTTGAAGCCTACATGGAAATGATGAGGCAGAGGCAAGAAAGAGGCACGAGAGCATCGGAATGTCTCAACGAACGTGAGAATCGGTGACGCGGCTTGCGCTTTCGCTCACCAGCTAGCGCTCACCTTAGTCCTTCACGTTCTGGGGGCTGGAGCGCTGGGCATATAGCATGTCAGCTCAAGCTCGATGATTGCAATTTCAGTATGCACCAGTCACGGGCCAACTATGAAGGGACCGGGCGGAGTCCGTCTTATCCTTTGGTCACTACACAACGCGGCGCCCAGCGTATGTGTCTGTCACCAGCCATGCGCATCCGTCAAATGTAGCTTCCATCCCCGCATCATATCTCTTCCGACCTCACTTCATTTCCCTGCTGTACACCGGGCGTTCTCAATCGCGATTCGACGATAACGAAGAAGCAGTCCATCTCAGTGACTAGCTAGTTCTTGCGCGCAAGCCGCCTGAGCGGCTCCGTAAGAAGGGTGAGCTACGTGAAATGAACATAGGCAGTGGCCCGTATCTCATTAATGTACTCGCTGATTGTTGGTGTACTGTACTCTATCTCGTACATGCGTATATATCGTCAAATCATCATCTCTCATGCTCTTCGGAGAGTCGTCCGTGCTTAGACTTGCGTATCGTTGCAACATACGAATCCTGTCCTGACGGACCACCCCCATCGTGCACTCCCTTCGAAATCACAATGAAATTATTAAACAAAAGAACCTAGGAGCGTAGCGTGACAATCAAGATACAGAACAGCAGAAGCCTTCACCTAATCGCGACCTCTACTACAACACAAAGAAAGCACACTCTTCAAATCTAGAGACTAAGCTCCCCACCTCTCCCTCATCCTCCCCTCCCTCCACTCCGCCACCTTCCCACTCTCACCACCCTCCCTCGGCCCCTCGCGCCACATCGCCTCGCCCGTCCTCGGCACATAAAACACCCTATACGTCCGCACACATACCCTAATCTCCAGCGCGCCCGCCGCGTTGACAGACGGCGGCGATGGGAGCGACGGCGCAGAGTTGCGTAAGGACGGAGGGAGAGAGCGTTTGAGGAACGGCGAGCGCAGTTTGTGTTGCGGGACGCCTGCTGTCGGGCCGGGCTACAAATACGCATCAGTCATCATATGTAGACAAAGTGCTCGAGATAAGTACTCACAGCAACGAACGCGTCGACGTAGCCGAACCACCTTCCTCTCTCCTCGTCCTCCGCACGCCGCTCCTTCCCGCGGTCAACGAGCTCGAGCGTCATCGTACGCCGGTCCCCAGCCCATTCGAGCCTGAAGAGTGTCTCGTCCGGTGCTAGCTGGGCTTCGGCGGCGGAGCGCGCTTTGCGGATGTCATCTGAGGTACTGTTCACAGAGTCAGTATCCGGGGTATGATGAATGGTGAGATGGATACGCACGGGTTCAATAGTGATGTTGCGCTTGCAGGTGCCGGGGATGCAGCGGGTGATAGCAACGAGCGCGCGAGACGCTCGGTTGCCGGTGAGGTATCGAATGTATGGAGGTGCTTGAGCAATGCGGCGAGACACTTGTCGATCGTGAACAGCTTGTACGCATCCTGTAGTCACAAGTTAGTTAGTAAACATATCTGGAGTGATCAAGGACGCAGCGCACCTCGACGCCCCACATAGCGCGGCTTTGTTCTTCCCACTGATCGACGGTGATAAGACCATCGAATAGACGCTCGCACTCCTCGAGCGCAAGCTCGTAGAATGCGCGTGGACTAAGCTCTTGCCTGTCACGGAGGTCAGCAACCCGACCCAAGGGCATTAGTATGAGAGACGTACCCAGGCGGTACGCCGGCCACAAGCCCAGGCACCTTCGCCCGCGCAGCAGCAAGCGCCTTAAAATGCGCCAATCTAGAGTACAGCGTCTACTTCCCATCAGCATCTTCTTCGCTTCATACCGCCGGAGCGCGCGCACCTCGACCATGCGGAAGAACACGTAGAACCACCCGTTGACGAAGAACACCCTTCGTGCGCCCACACCTTCTGTATCGTCAATAGGTGGAGTGGCGTCGTCGAGGGGTGCCGGGCTCGCGCCGCGGGAGGGTGTAGCGAGGGGCGAGCGCGTTGATGCGCGGGTCGGTTTAGCGCTCAAGCCCGATCCGGAGCTCGGGCCCGCGCCAGCAGATGCCGCAGCTGCACCCCGACGTCAGCCGCATATCCCACTCTGAACAAAAGCACTGAGAGCTTACCAGCTGCTAACAAGTTCTTCCTCAAGTCTCCGGGTCTCGCGTTGGGCCTCTCGACACCAGTTTGACCCTGTTGCACTGCGGTCGGCGAAGCGAGCCAGCCGTCGGGTAGTCCGCAGAGCGCCTTGGCGAGCGCGTATGCGCGGCCTTCGGCGCGTTCGCGGCGGGCGCCGTCTTTGCCGCCTACACCGACGCGGGCACCGTAGGAGAGTAGGAGGCGGATGACATCGCCTAGTAAAGCCTGGAGTAACGAGTGAGCTAAGTCTGGTTCGCTAGAGTGTAATGCACGCACGTCGTCTTGTACAGCGAACGCCATCTGCCACCTCGGTCCACGTCCACCGAGTAGACTGGAGACAGCCAGTCCGCGCGAGCGCAGTTGTTCCTCGGCAAGGGCCTCGATCTGCGAGAGGAAGGCGCGGGGTGCAAAAGACTTCTTATCCGCCGCCTGAATGTATTGTTTAGCACGCTGCATGAGTGGAGGGAGCCGTATTGCGCACCTTGAACGCAGCTGCTCTGGCATCGAGCGCCCGCGGCGCATTTCTCGCATCAGCAGCTCGCCATACGCGCGACCAAGCCGTCTGTGCTCGTCGCCACTGCCCCTCCTTTTGCCTGCAGCTCCCATCAGCATTGTCATCCATGATCGATAGTGATACCAGATACCTAAGGCGAGCATATACTGCCGGCAAGGCGACACCGGGCATATCCTGCATAGCTGCCAACACATCCGGAGCGGCTTCCGCGCCGTACACTTTGCGTATGACGCGTGCGTGGACGGCTTTGCCCGCGCCACCGAGGTTCGGTTTGAGCTTGAACGCTGGAAGGGTGTCTTAGTACTGGACATAAAATGCAATGTGGGGACGTATGCGCACATGGTCGTTCTGGGGGTGGTAGAAGGTTGATCTTCGCTACAAGCGGCTCGAGGAGAGCGGTTGTCCGCGCGAGAGCATCGAGGTGGAAGTCGTACTCGTGTCGCTCTTCTTCCGTCCTGCGAGAATGAGGATGCTCAGTTTCCTTCTCGGGGCCTTACAAAGTATAGGTGTGCGTACCGGTGTAATGCCTCTTCGTAGACGTTGATAGGTTTCCCGCCAGTCGCGCCGTATAGGCCAGCATCGTCGAGAGACGTTCGTGGTCCAGAGGCCCACTCATCGTTCAGCACACTCCGGCATAGGTCATCGCGACCTGAACATGCTGCCATGCGATCCTGTATGCATGATGCCAATCAGCGCTGGAGGTATGATGGAATACTGCTAGGACTTACGTCGCGCGGTACACGCCTGTAGCTTCCGATCCGTATACCATCGTCCTCCGGATCAACGGGTAGATCCAGGCCTTCCCGACTATCGAAGGCGGGCGCGCCAGCTCCTGCACCTCCGTCTTGAGTACGCGCAGCTATTTGCGCGCGCAGGTCGTCGGCCTGTAAGAAAGATACGAGCATGACGTCAGTTGTCGTAGGTGAAGAGAAGAGTGTAGGATATGAACCTCCGACCATCCAAGGACGCGCTTCCAAGCTGTCATCAACTCATCGTTGAGGAAGGATTGACTTTCGCCGAGTAGTCGACGCCTGTCTATCCTCCCTTGCGCGAACAGATTTGCGAGCTACACATTCACCTCCGTCAGCGGGTGTACTCATACGGCTGAACACAAATGGGATCTGACCTTGATGAACTCAAGATACGGTTCTCTCGCGCCCAACGCTCTCCTGACCCGCGCAAAGAACTGGTTCGTGGGCGGCTCCTGCGGACCTCTCCCCGCCTCTGCAGCCCTCTCCCTCTCAGCCGCCGGACTCGCCCTCCTCTTGCCCTTCCCATTCGCCGCCTGCCCTGAGCCCTTCTGGCCCTGTGCGCCATGTTGATGTGACGACGACGCCTGCGCGGACGGTTCTTCGCGGCGGGGTTCGGCTTTGCGCTTGCGTTTGCCCGGTGCGGCCTCTGAGACGCCGCCGGTCTCTCTCCTTCTCTTCCTATCCGTCCCCGTCCTCTCGCTCCTGCCCATCCCTCCAGCGCCGTCCAGACCGGGTATGAACTCCTTGAACGCAAGCGCCAGATCGGGCGCGTCCGCGAACAAGGCCTCGACTCTCCTGTATATGTCTTCCTGCGCGCCCTCATCGCCCATCCTGCCCGCGTTGTGGTGCGAGGACAGGATCTCGAGGAACGCCTTGTATTTCTCCGGCTGGGCCGCATAGCGCGTCTTGATCTGCTTGACATACGACATCGCGGGGTCGAACTCACCCGCCGGGGGAGGTCCAATCAGCGGGGGAGGCGGTGGAGGCGGGGGGTGCGGCGTGGTCGAGAGGGGCGGAGGCGCGGGCGGCATGGGCTCGTCGCGCGGCGGCGGATTAGGCGCCGGAATTAGGCTCGACGCGCGCGGGGGAGGTGCAGGCGCCCAGCTCGGCTCCGGGGGCGGTGGCGCCGGTGCCGGTGCCGGCGGCAGAGGGCGCTGCTCCAGCGGCCGCTCGTCGACTTCCATCGCGCTCCCACCGCCGTTGCCCGCCGACTCCAATAGACCGAGGCCAAGTCCGTTAAGTCCGATGCTGGCGGTCTCCTTCACGATGGTCTGCTTGGGCGTGGTGATGATGATGCGCTCGTCGCCCTCGACGTCTATGCGGTATCCGAGCGGGAGGAAGGTGTTGAAGCCCTGGATGAGCTGCGGGTGGCCCTTGAACAGCGCGGCGACGCGGTCGATGACGCCGGGCGTGTCGATCAGCGAGGATTTGAAGTCTTTCATTATGTCCAGAAAGACATTGTAGACGTCGGTGCGCTGGGCAAAGACTTGTTTGACGGCGTCCAGGTAGCCGAGCGCATCGGAGACGTTCAGTTGGCGGTCCAGGACGGGCGTGGGGGAGGGTTGGTGAGGGGGAGGTGCGGGTATTGGGGGAGGTGGTACGGATTGTGCCTGCAGCGCCGGGTCTATTACTGGAGACGCCATTGTGGGCCTGAGCACGTTGTGCTTGCCAGCGACCAAGGTGGGGCGCTCGTTGTGGCTGGTGATGAGCGAAGTTCCGGCGCGCGAGAACGCGAGCGCGTCGCGTGCCACGTGCACCGTGCGCATCAATAACTCGCTCTCTCCGGCCCTTGGTTCCGGCCATCATCTCCGTCGAGTTTGCCCTGGGCCTTCGTCTGCCCTCAACCTCATCCTATCCGGACAATGAAGTCATCCATGGGGCTTATTCGCTTGAGCTCGTGTGCGAGTATTTACGCAAAGCCTTCAGGAAGGGGTGATATTGAGAATGTACAGCATGAGCAACTGAATGTACTTGATGATGGACCAACACCTGCTTTGATGCGTCTTCCCTCCGGCCGTTGAGGAGACTTCCTCTCTCGCAGCGCCGATCGAACTGATTGCGTATAAATACCAGCTTCCGACCTGCTCTGTTCCGCAAACCGCGCATCATGGTAAGTACCATACACCTATCCATATATCGACATTCGCTGATCTTACATCTGTAGGGTGCTCACGCCTCATCTTCCTCGCACCCACCGCCCGATCTCGCCGAACGTCTGGCTGCATACAACGAACGACTGGCCAAAATCCGTCAGCGCATCGGCGACAAAGACGACATCGAAGACGTCTGTTCAGCACTACGTCGCGTCGAGAAATCCGGATCAAGCCGTCGTCCTCCCAAAGCAGCGCCTCTCAGACCACTCGGAGTGGCGCTCTACGAACGCTTCGAACGGCTGGGCGTAATCGAGGATATTGACGATGCTATATGGGCCTCGCGCAGTGCAGCCGAGCTCGGCACTGAGGAGTCGGAGCGGTATGTTTGGCTGCACGACCTCGGCAAGTCTTTGCGCGCGCGCTTCGAACAAGTGGGAGACGCCCAGGATATTCACGAGTCCGTTACGGTGCTTCGGCGCGCGGTGGAACTTACGCCCGACTGGTACCCCGACCGACTTGCGCACCTGAACAGTCTCGGCAACTCGTTGCATGCCCGCTTCGACTCGCTTGGAGATCCTCAGGACCTCGAAGACGCCATCCTCACATATCGGCGTGTCATCGAGCTTACCCCGGACGGGTATACGGACAAGCTAGCCGGGTATCACAACCTCGGCAGTCTATTGCAGAAACGCTACAAAAGATTCGGCGAGCTGGACGATCTCGAACAGGCTATCTCGATGCAGCGTCGCGCCGCCAAGCTGGCTGACGCCCATCCTGCAAAACCCGCACAGTTGAATGGTCTCGGTATTTCATTGCACACCCGCTTTGTACGTCTGAACGACCTAGAAGATCTCGAGGAGTCTATACGAGTGCATCGACGCGCAGTCGACCTCACTCCCGCCAACCACCCCGACCGAATCGGCTGGCTCCAGTTCCTCGCCGTCTCTGTAGACAGCCGCTCCCAGCAACTTGACGATCCCAAGGATCTCGAGGAAGCGATCAAGATCATGCGCCACGTCACGGAGCGTACACCCGATAGCCACCCAGCCAAAGCGGACCGCTTGCACTTCCTCGGCGTTGTGCTGCACCAGCGCTTCAGGCGGACCGGCGAGCTCGGCGATCTAGAGGAAGCCATCATCGCGCAGCGGAAAGGGTTAGGAAGTGCGCTCGAAGGGCACCCGATGAACTCAGACTGGTTCAATAGTCTCGGGCGTTCGCTCCAGTCGCGCTTCCGACGACTTGGGGAGCCAGCGGACTTGGATGAAGCCATCTCCATGCACCGCCGTGCTGTGGACCTTACACCCGAAGGCCATCCGGACAGACCTGGGCAGCTAAACAACCTTGGAACTATACTATCCGTACGCTTTGACCGCCTCGGCGAGCTCGGCGATCTTGACGACGCTATCGCGAACGTGCGCGCTGCGGCGAACCTCACGCCGGAGGAGCATCCGAGCAAAGCGACGATGTTGAGCAATCTTGGGGTTATGCTGCGCGAGCGCTTTATTCGTCTTCAAGAGCCGCGGGATCTCGACGACTCTGTCGCTGTATCTCGTCGCGCAGTTGAATCTTCGGCGAACGATCCACAGCTCGCGTCTCGACTCAACAACCTCGGGAACTCCCTCCGCAAACGCGCTGAGCTTCGCAAAGAGATCACTGATGTCGACGCTGCCATCTCTGCATATGAGCGCGCAATAGACCTCACACCCGACGAGCACCCGAACCAATCAATCTGGCTCTTAAACTTAGGCTGGGCCCGCTGCGAGCGCTACCGAAGCTCCAAGAACGCCGACGACTACCACGCCGCGGTATCCTGCTTCATGAAAGCCGCCACCCATCCCCAAAGCATCCCCACCTCCCGCCTCGCCGCCGCGGAAGACTGCATCTGGCTCCTCACCACCTTCCCCAAGCACAGCACCCAAGACTCCCTCTTAGCCGCGCATGCGTGCGTCTTCGGCGTCGTCCCCGAGATCGTGTGGCTCGGGCACGGTATCCAGAGAAGATACTCGGAGTCGTCGCGGCTCGCGGGGTTTATTGGTGCGGCGGCGGCGGCGGCTGTTGGGGCTGGGGAGCTGGGGCAGGCGGTGGAGTGGCTTGAGGCGGGGAGGGCGCTCGTGTGGGCGCAGATTTTGGCGCTGCGTACGCCGCTTGATGAGCTGCAGGCGGTGCATCCGAAGCTTGCGGATGAGCTTCGTAGTGTGCAGCAGGAACTGCGGCAGTCCGTGCCGATGTCTTCGTCGCAGGGTTATCATAGATCTGAGGATGGCATTGCCGACGTGCACAAAGATGGCTCGACGGCGGATCGTCATCGTGGACTGGCCATTCAGTACGACAACATCATGAAGAAGATCCGCCGCTGTCCAGGTTTCGAGGACTTCCTACGCCCGAAATCGTTCAAGGATCTCGTACTCCCATCCGAGCTGGCCAAAGGCCCCGTCGTCTTCATCAACGTGCATCCAACTCGCTGCGACGCTCTGGTTCTGCACCCAGGCGGAGACGTCGCTTGCGTACCGCTTCCTGGTCTCTCGACGGATCGTGCGCTCAAGTTGCGCGCACTGTGGACTTCACAGCTGAGGGGTGCCGGAGTGCGTGTGCGTGCGGCGTTGCATATAGGCGGCGGAGACGACTTCACGTATACGGCTCGTGTGTTGAAGTTTACGTGGGAGTGGATCGTTCAGCCGATTCTGCAGTCCTTGCAGCTTGTATGTCATCCCGGTGGTACTCTTCTCCATGTGATGCTGATATGCTATTCTAGTTGACGGAAAACTCGTCTGATGAGGCGTTACCGCTTATCACTTGGTGTCCTACAGGGCCGTTGACGCAAGTACCTCTACATGCCGCGGGCATATACACCGACCCCCTCGGTCCACGCACGTTCAACTACGTCGTCTCATCCTACACACCCTCCCTCTCCGCACTGCACAGAAGCTACGAAGGCATCACCAAACAACATCCAGACCCGAGAGTCCTCATCGTAACACAACCCGCCACGCCGAAGCACTCTCCTCTACCGGGTACAAAAGCCGAAGGCATTCGTCTCCAAGAGATCCTCTCCCACGCGCACATCGACAGAGAACTACTCAACCACGACCAAGCGACCATCGACTCCGTGAGCGCCGGTATGAGCAAGTACGCCTGGGTCCATCTCGCCTGCCACGGCGTGCAACACCCCGACGACGCGACGAAAAGCGCATTCGCGCTCTACGACGGACATCTGACGCTATCCACGCTCATGTCCACCGCCGCCTCCGACGCCGAGCTCGCGTTCCTCTCCGCATGTCAGACGGCCACGGGCGACGAGAACAACCCGGAAGAAGCCGCGCATCTCGCGGCGGGGATGTTGGCGGTGGGGTTTAAGGGCGTCGTGGCGACGATGTGGTCGATCGGCGATCGGGAGGCGCCGGTTGTTGTTGAGGCGTATTATCAGAGGTTGCTGGAGATGCGCGAGTGTGGTGGGATTGGGACGGGGCGGACGGGGGCGGCGTATGCGTTGCATGAGGCGGTGAGGGTGTTGAGGGAGAAGGTGGGCGAGAATAAGGTCGTGAAGTGGGCGCCGTTTGTGCATTTTGGTATTTGATATGTTGTAGGGAATGAACTTGACGTACATAGCTCGCGAATAAGGGCAGAGCTATAAGTTGATGTTATTGGCCTGAAGCCTGGCAGGCCTTTTCATACAGGTACAGTAGCGGACTGTTACTGTAGCGCCCGACCTACTGAGGCCATGACGACGACGCCACGAGGCGCGTTACGCGTTACGTTGATTAGTGACAGCCCTGGCCACAAGCAGAGGCGAGCGGCGCCTCTTGCCTTCAACTTCGACAATTGAATCACTATATCCTGCCCGAAACAGGCCTGTCGCTTGCAGTTACTCTCAAGAACTACTATACGACAGAATGAGTCCAGGAAAAGTAGTGATACATGGCTCGGAATGCCGGCAATATGTTCACCGCAAGTCGCCGAACACAGTCGTCGGGATAGCCAAACAGGTCCCAGGATCAGACATCGTCTTCACTCTCAATATGATCGTTCTCTACTAGAGATCCCTACACCTGGTATTCACGGAGATCATGGATGGCTCCGAAGGCCGAAGGGGACGCCATCATCGTAGAATATGCGGCCATATAGGTGTGTCATATTTTCTCCCGCCTCACTCGGCTCGCTCACGTACGTCTCCTATGTCTTCACCGCAGCAGCAGCATAAGCTTAAGTCTTGGCGGTATGAACGACAGCCTGACGCGAGCGGGGGACCGGTACTCGGAAGACATCACCGGCCTCGTGCGCGCAACCCTACAAGACCATCCGGAGAATTGGATCTCTAGTACAGATCTGCACTACGTCGGGCCCGTTGAGCGAGTCGGAGATGGCTGGACCTCAGGAAACAGGTGCGGATCACAGTCTGCGCTTTGTATCTTCCGGCTCATCGGTCCGATCATGTCGTTTTCAGGGCACAGTCTTGATGTGCGGCCATTGAGCATCCGTAGAGCGCATCGTATTCATCTTCCTAGGACACTGCAGGCTATTATACGATGGTGTCTTTCATTTGCATATTCCTCATCAGTCATACGGAGCCACGAATTCGACTTCATTGGACACCTGAAGCCTCTTGGATTCTCTATCCTACGACGTCCAATATGTTCCGGTTATGCAACATGTAAACGTTCCGACTCGCCCACCGGTAGCGGCTCCCGGAGATCGTACTCTCGTCAGCGAGTGACCTCGACCGGTTCCTCTGCGTCAAGTACCTTCCGTGAATATTTTATTCCCGCTCTATTGTGCACTGCTCTGAAGTGCGTGCTTTTCAGATTCACAGAATTTCCGTCGCCAGTCTCCCAGCACATCCTGAGGCATCTTGCGATGTCAGGGAGACACAGAATGCCACAGGCGCCCACTTCTCCGCGTCTCGATAAGAACATCCGTCATGCGGAGGTCCCGTGGGGCAAACCAGGGGCCCCGCGCGATCAACTTTGTTTCCGGCACCGACGACCCGCGCGTCCCGCCTCCTGTACTTTTTATCCGTGCGCATTCGTATCCCTCATCGGCCTACAGTCACTTCTCCGGAATTATGACAGGCCCTACGCGTTGCTGGTTCCTGAAGGCCCGCTCAGGTCATGAGTTCAAAACACCGATGGGTCGGGCGCGGTAGTGTGCGCGGGCCCGACGCGCTCGCTCTGCCTGACGTACCGGTACGCTTCAACCGCCATCTTGCGCGTGCAAATGCCCTATTAGATGCTGACTGGGCCCGCTAGATGGTTTATGCCGTAGAGGATATAAGGAGGGGGACGGAGAAGTTGCGAGAGAGCAGTGGCCCTTACTGGATCCTCTCGTTCTTCCGAACTAGCGACTATGCTCACTTCGGTGGTCTTTGCTCTTGCTGGCGCGGCTGCGGCACGCGCTGGTACAACTCCTTCTACGCCTCCTGCTGTTGGTGACAGGACACCTCCCGACTACTCGGCCGCGTGGGCGGAGGCGTACGAGAAGGCTGCTGCTTTCGTGCGTCCATTCATCTCTCCGCGTCCATTCAAATTCAACGACTGATTCATACCTCAGATTGCTGACCTCTCCATCGAGGAGAAGGTCAACTTCACGACTGGTCTCGACGTCAGCTTATGCACAGGCACCACACCCGCTATACGGTCTTTCGTACGATCACATCTTGCGATATTCCATCACAATACGACTGACCCGAATATCAGCCCGGTCTCTGCTTCCAGGATGGTCCCCTCGCTGTGCGCGATATTGACTTCACGACCGTGTTCCCTGCCGGTGTCAATACGGCTGCTACGTACGTGCTTATACGTGCTTGGCTCCTGATGATGCTGATGGAGACGCTTCTTTAGATGGTCACGCTCGCTATTCCGCTCACGGGGCATTGCCCTCGGCGAAGAGTTCCGTGGCAAAGGCGTGAATGTGGCATTCGGCCCAGCTATGAACATGGCCCGTGTCGTCAACGCCGGCCGTAACTTCGAAGGTTTTGGAGCCGTATGTTCTCATTTCGCTGAAGGTCTTGATAGCATACTGAGCATACGTCTGTAGGACCCTTACCTTGCCGGAGAGGCCGCCTTTGAGACTATCGTGGGCATACAATCTACCGGTGTTCAGTCATGCGCGAAGCATTGGGTTGACAAGTAGGTCTTTGATGCGTTCCACCAAACTGCCCAGTATGTTCAAAGTTTTACAGCGAGCAAGAACACGGGCGCATGTTCTCTAGCTCTAACGTCGACGACCGCACACAGCATGAGATCTACGCCATGCCCTTCGTCAAGAGTGTCATGGCTGGTGTCGCGGTGCGTACAAGTCCCGTCGCGTTGCAGTTCTTCACTCATTGCTATCTTACAGGAAGTGATGTGTTCCGAGAACGGCGTTAACCAGACGGCTGCATGCGGTAATAGTTACTTGCTCAACACTCTCCTGAAGGGCGAGATCGGCTTCAACGGAAGCGTCATCAGCGACTGGTATGCTACCTCTGGCACGAGCGACGCAGCAAATGGACTGGTATGCCGTATATCTCATGTATTGCATCCCAGAGTCTGACGTCTATCTTAAGGATATCACTATGCCCGGCTCTAATATTGGCGGAGGCTCGCCCTTCGGTGGCAACCTCACTGCAGCAGTCAAGGCGGGCACGATTTCTGAGGACCGTCTCGATGACATGGCGCTTCGTATCCTCGCGCCGTGGTACCTTTTGGGACAAGACGCGGAGGACTACCCGAAGCCGAACTACAACGTCAACGACCTGAACGACCCGCTTACGAACCAGCACGTCGACGTACAAGGCGAGCACTGGAAGGTTGTTCGGGAGGTTGGTGCTGCTAGCATCGTCCTGCTCAAGAACGAGGGAACGTTGCCGCTCAGCAAGCCACGTACCATGGTGCTTGTGGGTATGTGGATGCGCATGGTCTCCCATGTGTAATATCTTTCTCACGCTTTCGCAGGCTCCGACGCAGCGCCCGCCCGCACGGCCGGCCCGAACGAGTTCGCTTTGAATGCCGGCGTGGATGGAGTCCTGACCGTTGGTTGGGGCTCGGGTACTGGCACCTTCACTTATGTCGTCTCTGTAAGCACGCTCTATCGTACTTGAGATGCTTCGTCGCTAACTCGACATTCAGCCGTACGAGGCCCTCGCCGCCCGCGCCCGTAAGGATCATACCACCATGTCTTGGTACTTCAACGACTGGAACACGACTGCCGCTGGCATTGCTGCTGCCAACCAAGAAGTGGCCTTTGTCTTCATCCAATCCGACTCTGGTGAGGAGATCGGCTCCTTTGAGGGCAACCTCGGTGACCGGTATGTCCTTGACACGTCTACCCTCCTGTTCTGCTTGCTCACCGCCGGGATAGCAACAACATCACTGCATGGAATAACGGAGACAAGCTCGTGAAGGCAGTTGCGAACGCCAACAACAACACAGTCGTTGTCGTCCACTCTGTCGGCCCTATCACCATGCCTTGGTCGGAGCACCCGAACATCACGGCTGTCGTTTGGGCTGGTGTTTCCGGCACTGAGGCTGGCAACTCGCTTGCAGACGTGCTGTACGGCGACGTCAACCCTTCTGGCCGCCTTCCGTACACCATCGCGAAGAAGCTCTCCGACTATCCGACACGCCTTAACGAGGATAATGCGACTACGGAGCAGCCATTGATCCAAATCAACTACACTGAGGGGTAAGTTTCTTCTTTACTACGCCATCATTTTCCTTTGTTGACTATACGGAACAGTCTCTACGTCGACTATCGTCACTTCGACAAGAAGGACATTGAGCCGTTGTTTGAGTTCGGCTTCGGTCTCAGCTACACAACGTTCAACTACAGCGACCTATCTATTGAGGCCATCAACGGCACCGAGTCCGACCTCGAGGAAGCATGGGCGTCTAGCTCCGCGGGACCTTCCGGCAACGGTACTACAACCGCTCTCTGGTTGCATCAGCCCGCATACAATGTTACCTTCACCCTCACCAACTCTGGAAGCGTTGACGGGACCGAGGTATGCCGCGACTCTGCTTCTCTGCCCCTGAAGATCTCACGCTGACTGTCGCTCCCAGATTGTGCAACTTTACCTCAACCACCCCAAATCAGCGAAGGAGCCCTCGTCTATCCTTCGCGGCTTCGACGACATCTACCTTGCTGCGGGCGCAAGCACGACAGTCAGTCTCAGCCTATCTCGATACGATCTTTCTATTTGGGATGTCGTGAGCCAATCTTGGGTGCGCCCCAAGGGCACCATCGGTGTTACGATTGGTGCTAGCAGCCGCGACGCTCGCCTCAGAGGCTCGATCGCACAGGAGTAATACTCTCGTGCCCCACAAATGAAATCTTGTACTACTTACATCATGGGTTTATGTGCCAGTGCTTTCTTTTACGCATCTAATGTTTTGTCGCGACGCACCTATTCTTATACATGATTATCCTGTCGTCCCCACACTAGTACCATGGCTAAATCATCATCATGACCGCCCTTGAGAAGGATTCATCTCCGCGGCACCATCGGGGACCGCGGGCCTAGTTGAAACGTAGACTCTCGGTATCGTTTCCCAGGCCTTCGAATCCGTGCGAGTTAAGTCAAGCCGCGTCAATGCTCATTCTAGAGATCGAGGCTTCTATAACGTCAATGACAGTGCATTACTGTCCAGCGTCCTCACGCGATTGTGAGTACCGATAGACTTCTAGCGCATAAGAAGTTCCGCTGACTGCGCGTGTGTACCCCTCTGTAGCGTGCTTCCAGTAGCGAGGACCGCGACAGAAGTCTATAGACACGAGAGCGAGATATTCTGCTATACGATCTAGATTTCGTATGTACAAGTCGCTTCGGCATTACTAGTCCAATGCTATCACGTACAACAGATGTAAAAGGGAGTGGTAAGAGGGGACCGGACGTATATCCTGGAGCAGAGGTACTGATACATTGGAAGTTTGGGGACGATATCGCTCGGAGGGTATCAGTGAATGAGCGGTTGATCATGTTGCGAGCAAAGGTAAAGCGAGGGTGCGAGTTATTTTCAGACCACAGACGACGAGCTTGCGGCTTTATTCCCTGTGCAGGCAAGGTCAAGATAGGAGACAGGGGCATCTACCGTAGATAGCTCTAGTTGTTCCGAGGACGAGGAGCTGATTACACCGCGGGAGTCAGAATTGTGTTGCATTTAGAGAGATGCCGGTCATCACTCACGCATTTGGGTCATTGGGAATGGGCGTGAGCGTCGGATCCTCATAAAGGTTGCGAGCCATGCGTGTCGCCCCCAAGCCTTGTAGTATGAAGGAGGCAGTAATCGCAATCTGTGTTTCCATCCTCAAGCGTGAGTACGACACCCATGATAAGGCAGGTGAGGAAAAACCGCACAGTGAGCCCAACCACTAGACATACTTCATTCAGTATAGCATCAGGATGTAAGCGCGAGATTGCCGTACCGTTGATATTCACAGCTATGAGCACTATGAGCGGGATACCTGCGATGAATACTATCGCCAGTAGGGTGAGTCCCTTCGCAACGTCATGAGAAAGATTGCTTTCAGAACCACACATTTGTGGGAGCGCACCTGGGCCCATAGTACGCGGACAAGTCCAGCTCTTCCCCGAGCGCGAGTTTCAGGCCGACGCCATAGACCCGTGAACATGATTGCCAGGATGATCATGTCGACACCCGTGTTCGTGCTTGCAGTAGATTGCACGCTGCGTAACTCGACGGGAACACATTGTGAGGTGGTCGAACCAGGTAAAAGTTGGTAGTCGGCTCGAAAGATGGCAAGAGCTCCAACGAATCAGCCGGCCTGTATGCCACAAAAGCCATAGAACTCACCGTATATCGCGACAGCCACTTGTGCTGTCATACCAACGCAAGATACGACTACGACCCACAGTGCCCGAGCCCATATAGCGACCCTGTGTAGAGGATGAATGTGGTTGAAGTACAAGAAGAAGCTGTCGGCGTACGTCCGTGCAACGATCAGATATGTTGAAGACACGAAGAAGAGATATGGAAATGCCTAGCACCAAATGAGCACAAGGTCTCGGACCAACAATATCATCTTTGTGAGAACGATTACTCACGAAGAACAAACGGACAGCAGTCTGTCGATAATGTTCATATTAGCTCCGCGCAAGGTTACATGCGAAGGCACTCACGTTACAGGGTATAGCGCCCACGCCGCTCACAGATAAGATTATCGTCAGAAACATGCTGTACCGGGAGAGCAGGTAAGCCTATGTGGGGATCTATCAGATGCGAGGGCCGAGAGGAGTAGGGCACCATACCCAGGTTGTGAGTGGCCACCGCCAAGGAGGCGCATTGCGCGCCAAACGCCAATCATGGTCCATGTGCGTCAGGTGCTCCCAGCTACAAGCAAAGTGGTTAAGAGGGGGCGAGGGCAATGTGATAGGCTGAACCCACAAAACTAGTCCAAGAAACGCCCATTGCAACTTCAGAAACGCGTCTGCGAGTGAGTGCGGCGTTCTGTTAGTATCATATCTCACCAAATGAGCTACACGCAAGCGCACCTTGGGCCACACTGGATGGTGCGGATGATCCGTCCATCCCATCTTCCACACTCCAGCGGAGCTCGGTAGCGGGTGCGAGGCGGTCGGGGCAGCGATATCTCGAGAAACCAGGCAGTCCGTCAAGAGTCGGGGTTATGTACTTGCACGGGGCCAGTAACCATATGGGAGTAACTCTATGCCTGTTTTAGCAACGGGCGGTAAAGAAGACCTTCTGGCCGGGCGGCGAGCTCGGTGCCTTTGCAACCGGCGGGATAAGCTTGAGGACGAGCCACGCGTACCCGCATCGAAGAAACGGGCATGGCTTCGGTAATGGCATCGGGCGTAAAAGAAGGAACATGTTGGCTATGTCGTGTAAGGTGGTCCTCCATTCTCGACGCTCCGGCCGAACGACATGGAGAAGGAGCAAAAGCAGGAAGTAACCGGAACCGGCGGCACTTGCGATGATACTGCGTGGGGTTCCGCGTTAGAGTATGATCAGCGATCACAGAGCCGCTATGATGTGGTCCACGTTGGCTAGTCCTTCTGTAAGCAACCATATAGCAGCTGATCGTCGTCATCCCCTCTAAATTTCGAACCAGCATGTCGAGTGCAACGGTACATTGTTCAGGACCGCAGTCCTCTAGCACTTGTAGAGGGGCCTGCTTATCGTCAAGACGCAGTCGAGTTGTCATAGGTTCGTAAGGCTAATGGATACGAGAGAGTCTAGCTGGCCATCATGGTCGTTCGGGAGCCAATGTCCGCGGCTGGCGCGCGCGTGCGAGACCTCCGGATGCTCGGGTCCGGGGTGTGGGTACGTCTCCACGCGAAGGTCCGGGCACTAACTGTCAGCCCGAGACGCTCGTCCTTTTCGACCGCCATGTTCGTTCTGTCAATGACTTGCGCCCTGTCACAATGCCTAGGTGCAGACACGAAGCATGCTGTATCGAGAGAGAACTATCTGCTCATGGGTCTCCGCACCGCGACGGAGAGCTTGTTCAATCACTAGCGAGCGGAAGTTCACCCGGACTTATTCGAGAGTTATATCTCACCATCGTCCCTGTTTGCCTCACCGGTTATTATACGGTAACAGGGTATATTTACTCCGGATTGGTCATCAGATTATATGCTAGGCCAGTCGGAGAGCGTATACGAGTATCGCAAGCACTCCCATTACCGCTGCTAATAGCCATCGGCGGCTGGACCGTGTCACCGTGTCAGAGCGGTCACCTCGGAAAGCATGAGCGAGGCGTGCAGAGTAATCGACTCCGGGTCCATTTCGACCTCTGATCACCATCATCCAGTTCTTCTGGCACAGTAGTCTGTGTTCAGGCCAGTCACTAGAACGAAATGAGTATCGTTTAGAACTTTCGAGCGTACAATGGCACACGCACGTCTGTTGGCACGCACTCGAGCAGTGCGCCACAAGGCGACACTCAGTGCAAGGATAGGAAGCTGGTTGGGTGCAGCCACGCCGATTGCACAAACTTGCATGATTGCACTGATTGTGAAGACGGGCAAGCTCTTGCCACATCCCTGCCATCATCATGCCTTCGTGTCCCCCACCTATATCGCCCGGAACGTAGGAGACCCTTGCAGGCGAGTCGCTGTACCTGGCTTGCTGTTCGCTGCGGAAGATGGTAAGCAAAACTCAAGAGAGTATCCGGAGCGCAGAAACACTGACTCCCTGCTGTTCCAGGTGAAGAAACGGTGCATGAGGGCCGCCAACGTACGCGCACGAGGTAACTCGGATACGAGTCTCACTCGGATGCGAGGATTCTGCTCGGCGGACCGGTTGAACGCATGCCATATGATTGCGAAAGGCTCTATGGACAGACTTGAATCATGTACTGTGCCCATATTCGGTCATAAGATCCTCACCTTCCATACCCTCATTGTCGGCGATAGAAACGAGACCGCGCGCATTTGGACGAGGTGACACGCACGCATCCAGCGCACTAAAGAAGCCACCTTCCACGAAGGCTTCGACGATGGCATCGCGCTAGGATCATGACCATCAGCTCGACGTGTTGGGTCATGCGCACAGACAATCGTGTGAGATACGCACCTCCGCGCTATCTGATACCGGCTCCTGTAGCGTAGAAAGCACGACAAGGGAAGACAGATATAGAATTGTCCTAAGGAGAAGCCCAAGGGGCCGTGCGTTCTTACGCGCGGCACCGGAGAGAGCGTCAAACGTTGCTATCCAAAACTCTGAGCGACGTAGGAGCGCCTTCCTCAATCCGGTCTGCTTGTCGATCTTCACGAGATCCGCGAGAAGTCTCAACTGCTTGATTTGTGCGTCTACATCGTCTATGAGAGGGAGTTGTCTTTTGAGTATGTCAACGAGTGCGTTGCACTTCTCTTGCCCTGACGCATTGGGAGCCGGGCTGACGCCTAGAAGAAAGCGGTGTAGGAAGGCTTCGGATGTCGAGTGAGGATGGCGCTCTACATGCGTTTTGATGACGGGATGCTGCGGCCCGGAGCAGAGCTCGTCAAGGAGCGCGGATGTGTACATAATGTCTTTCTTGGGTACTGTGGAGTTAGCCCAGTGGCGAGCGACAACGGGAATCGTGAAGTCGTCCAGACCGTGCGCAATACTATCACCAAAAGTAAGATCTCATGTCGCTACGACGAAAGAAGAGGCGCACGAGAACAGAGACGGGTCAATCCTCGAGGCCTTCGCGAGGATGAAAGGGACACAGAGGCGATCCATCTGATGTGCAGCTTGTGGTATCACCGAGTATTGGGGATCTTCCCATAGCTATACACCCCAAGACGGCCGGCAACTGAAATCAGCGGATGCGCACGTGCGCCACGGAAATCAGCATGAAACCCACGCTTTTTCGACAGGCCAAGTTCGCGCCGCATTTCTCCTTGTTGGCCTCCATGATCCTGCAGTATCGTACCGTAGGTTTCATCGTTACCTTCGCGCACCCTGTAATACACGCTCTTTCACTGTGAATCCATGCCGCGACGACTTCTGCTCCGAGACCCAAGGTAAAGTGGACTTGTCTCTTGCGAGCACCGTCGTCGAGCGTGCCGTGCGCCCCTCCACCGATTCAAGCACATCCTCCGCCTACCAACGAGCGCGATGGCCGCTATACGACGGGAAGACGGTATGTCTGCACTGTGAGCTTGCCGCCGTTCACTACCAACACTCTCGAGGACTTGGCTATCGGCAGCAAAGAGACCGCGAAGCACTCAGATCCAGTGCAGGGCCACTTCGCCCATGGTGTACGCTCATCTTCTCGACTGCGGGTGCCTTTGTCTGACCTACTGGTAGCGCCTCACTGCCATTCGTCTGTTCCAGATCCCATCCCCACCGAATGGAAACGGCGATACAGAGTCTGGAGGACGATCAACGACGACATAAGTGAGGGCATAAGCTGGGCATAAGGGCCTGGGGCTCCGACCGCAATGCTTCAGTCTGACGAAAGTATGTATCTCCCAACTCTTCGCACGTAGTCCTGGGCTAATCTACTGTTATTAGCTGGTCGCGCGAGCACATCCAAGAGGACCTATCCGAGTTCCCGTCGCCGACACCGGCCTTTTTTGAGCTGTCGAACTTCCAGCTTCTCCTCGTCGCGCCAGCCGCGATGCCCCATCCTCCCGTGCCTGCACCTGTCGGTCCTCCGGGGCCATTGGGCAACACCGGGCCAAAGAGGACGAGGAGGAGGCAGATAATGCTCCCTACTAGTGATTTCCGGTCCATTATAGCATGGCTATCTTTTGCATTCTTCTCTTCTGTACGATTTTACATACCTGTCTACTATACTGGCTTGTTTGCAATCGACTAAACTATTGAAGTACCGAGCCATATGTTGTACGTACGTCAACGTCGAATCCCTGGAGGTCAAGGAGACGCGGCCTGGCCCTGAGCTCAGGCTCGAGGGCATGGGACCGTTGTTCCGCATTAGGCAAGTTCGGGGAGTGCAGTCGCGTTCCGTGGATCCCGCGAGCGCGACGGGCACATTCACAGAACGAACTTGCCTTGTCGAAAAAGCGCGTTCTCTCTGTGATATTCCGATGCGAAGTTCAGACCGCTGATTTCCGCTGCAGGCCGGCCTGCAGTGTATGGCGGTCAGTTTGTTTCAAAATTCGGGGTTCATTT